GTGACTTCTATCAGGGTAGGAAACTGTCTTTTTTATTTATCAGTATATCCCAAGCATGAGAATAGTGCTTGGCACATAGTAAGTACTCAGTAAACACTTAATGAATTGAATGAAAGCTCTTGAAGCTTTGAGATAACAATGTGCTTTCTAACATAGAAGGCATACTGTTCATTCAAATACTGGTAGGGCCCCTACTGTGTGCTGCGTGTGGGTAACATGGACATGATCCCTGTCCTCAAGGAGGTCCCGGGCTAGTGTGGAGGCAGCTACTTGCCAGAGTGCTGGGCCACTGACACAAGCATGCACTGTGGCTCTGGGGTCGCAGAGAAGCGAGTTTGTATAAATGGGCAGGAAGATAAGCAAAAGCACAACGCTGAAGCTGACTTTACAAGTAGAAAGGGAGCTACCTAGACAACAAAGGGAAGGACCTCTAGGAAGGACTGGATTTTGTGCTCACATACTCGACCATGCGTGAGCTCTAGAACTGAGTCAGCACAGGTTTACATTTCATTTTACGCAGCCCTTCAGCATCAGCACAGACTGAATTTCCCCCTCAAGTTGGAGATTTGCCTTATGCCTCCCCTCAATCCCCTCCAAAGTACAGGCAGCATACACAATAAAGAGGCAGGCAAGAAAACTACACACGTCTCTCATTCACTCATGAGAAGGGACTTTGGGACTCTGTTTAGATTTATAATTGTTCCTTTGTCTACTGCATTCTGTATTTTTTGTCAGGATCATAATGTAATTGTTATATACATATTGTTATATACATATATATGTATACATACATATATATGTATACATACATATATACAAATATACATATATATGTAAATATATATACATTTATTTGGCTCTCATTTTAAAATATCCATTGATTATGTGTTTACAAAATGAGTTTTCTATATTCAATTAAAAAAAACTCTGGCTTTATTTTTTTCTAGTTGATTCACTCATTCATTAGATGAATAGTTATTAAATGATTATAATGTACCAGGCATTGTAGCTAGAGGCTGTGGATACAAAGAGGAACAGAAACATATTCCCCACCCTGAAGAAGACTTTAGTAGCACCATAGGCAGACGGTGAGAAAATAAGAACATGGAAATGTTACATGTGGTAGGAGAGAAGGATTTAGGGCAAGAGTCACAAACTGCAGGTCAGATGTAGCCCACCTAAGTGTTTGTTTGGTTCCATAGCGTTTTTCAAAACTTTGAATGGTTTTTCACAAATTAATCTTGATTTCTGGCTTGTCTTCAAAGAAAAGAATCAAAAGACCTGAGAACTCTGAACCTGAGTTCCAAAACGGCAACAGTGGACCAAAGCTGAGTCAGAACCAGCCCTTTCAGAGGGAAGGAGATGGGGAAAGGAAGGCAGAGTGCCCCTGCACGTGGAGGGTCCTGGAAGACAGGTGGGGAGTGTCACACTTTCCAGGCAGAGGGAATATTTTGTTTACAGTCCATACTTAACTAAGCAGCCAACCACATCCAAACCCATGCAGACTTCGACAATTCCATCCCTGCTTTCCCTGTGACAGTGTTCAGAAATGTCTGTGAAATGAACAAGAACATGATCAAAGAATTTTACTTCTGGAGGAGATTATTTCATAGGTCACTTTCCAAATGAAGAAGTGGCCATCTAGAGGGGTTGAGTAACTTGTGTGGTACAATGCTAACAGAAGCCGGGAACTGTTAACAGACTGTACCAAAGGCCTAAGGGAACAGAGGGGAATGGCAATACAGAACAGTATAGCTGGCATCTGTTGTTTTCCTTACCCACCATCCATTCTTCCTCCCTCTGAAAATGGTACCCTTATTTTGCTCCGGGGGGCCACCACGCCCCTTTATTGAATGTGGTGCCGGTGGAACTGAGTCCATCTGGCTTCTGAGATGGCCTGAGACCCAAGCCCGCCCACCAACACCCATCCTCCTGGAGCTTTTGAGAAAGAGGCATAATTCTTCCACTGGGGGTTGCTGAGAAGAAACAATGCAATTCTGAATGATGCTATTAGAAACTAACCTAAGACAGCATGCTGTAAGGAAAACAACGATAAGCTACAGTTCCCTGGGTAAATCACTTAACTGTTCTGAACCTCAGTTACCACATCTGTAAGTGAAAATAACAATTCCTTACCTCAGAGGGCTATAAAGAAATAATGTCTGTAAAATGCCTGGCACACAGTAGGAGCTCATTAATGTTGGCATCTTTTCGTTCCCTTCCGCATAATGTCAGATGGATGTAGCATTACTGTAATTAAAATGTAGGAAGTACATTGGCAGACGCTCCTTACAACATACTGAGAACAGCTTTTTCAGTAGCTACCTTATGTGATTTCAGGGAACTGGGGAGGGAAAATAAAATAAAATGCAGCTTGTTTTCCTGGAACAATTCAAGCCATTTCCAATGTTTGCCAAGTGTAGCCCTTAAGTCTATGTCTGCATTCATCTATTATCTCACCTCTGCATAGATAAAGTAGTTTTCCTCCCTGCTCACTGGCCATTTTCTATTTAAAATGGGAACTCTTGAATTCCTGGCAATCATTTAGCTGACAGTTTGGATCATAATGTAATAATAACATTAGTGAGCAGTTGTGTGACAGTTCCTGCTTTTAAAGCACTTTACAAATCTGAGCTAATTAGCATGATCGCTAACATGCCAGCTTTTTATGAATTAATATTGCAATTATACTTTGCTTTTTCAATAAAAATGCAGTGATCTTTTTTCACCAGAAATAGGGAGAAATGAAATGAAATGAGTCTCCAGTGTCTTTGAACGCAATGCAGTTAAAATATGAGCCAGACACTTTCTTGACTGAATATTCCTCTAACTATATTTGTGAGGATTTACAGGTATGGTACCTCTTGACAATTCTATTTTAGGATCAATGAAGAAAATAAAGGTGTAATAGCGGACTGAAAAGGATTCTATACACCCAAGATAAGTTTCTAACCTTCAAGATACACTTTCTACTCATTTCTAGATTTAAGCGCCTCAAAGAAATCAGAAAATTACCTGATTATGATTTACTCTTAAACCAATTCATGTAGTATTGCGAAAGACCCTATTGCTTTTGTTGTGAATTAAAATATAGAGTATGTATGTGTATATATATATGTATTAAAATTAAGTTTAAATTAATTACTTAATTAAAAATAGAGTATGTATATATATGTACGTACATACGTATATCTAAATAGAAATATATAAAATATATATAAATAAAAATATAAATATATATAAATATATAAATATATTAAAATATATTAAAAATATATAAAATATATAAATAAAAATATACATATATACATACTCTATATTTTAATATATGTGTATGTACATACGTATATATACATACGTACTCTATATTTTAATTCACAACATATTTTATGTTATATTATTATATTATATACATTTTATATATATATGTATATATATGAAAGGCTTGGGTTGGAATTTCACCTCTAGGACTCAGGAATCCAACTGTAACTTTTTGAACTTTGGCTTCCTCACCTCTAAAACGGGGGATGGGGTGGGGTGATAATAATTAATTTGCATGATTTGCGTGATTCTTGGGAGGTCCAAGAGTGATTCCACCCTATGCAATATGTGGGATACAACAGGTGATCACATCAGCCTTGACCCATCCTCTCTGTTTGTAATTCATCTTCTGCCCTTACTGCTCTAAAATTATTCTGACATTCATTCAGTTTCAGTTTATGGAAAGCAGAGCATCATAATGAGTTAAAATTTTTGTTAGGTATTATAAAGAACTAAATTTAAAGGGACTAATTATGATGGAAAATAGGGATAATTATGAAAGTTCATTTTGATGGGAAAAAATCTAAACATATGATCACTTGAAAACTCCTTTGAACATACTATGAAACTGTAGAGATATCTCAGTTAAATTTAGTCATTTTGTCCTCTGTTCTTTGCACAAATTTAGCAAAAAGTGATATGAGGAGGTATAACAGTGGAAAGGTGCCTGAAACAGTTAGAAAGCTGTATGAGCATACTTAAATTGTTTCATTCATTCATCAGTTAAATATATCCTGAGCTCCTAAGACATGTCAGGCACCATTTTGAATGTTGCTGGTATAAGGACTAGTACAAGGACTAGCAGACAGAGCTTTTGTCCTTAAAGAATTCACAGTCTCATGGTGGAGGCAGACAAGTGAATGAACAGTTGCAACAATGTGAGCAATAAATGCTAGTAGAGGCTACTCAAGGCCAATATCTAATTTCTTGAGAAGTCATAAATTCTTTGAGAGAAATGGTGTTTATCCTGCCAATATGATTTGTAGAGGGTGAGCCCTCAGTGTAGAGTCAAAAGACCCGGATTCTGGTCCAAGCTCTGTCTTTTACTAGCTATACATCCTTTGATAGTCATTTCAGTTTTCTGAGCCTCAATTTCCTCATCTATAAAGTGTGACTGATGACACCGGTCCTCACTGGGTTATTGTAAAGATCAATGGTCATGAGAGTGAATCTTTAATTAATTGTAAAGATCTCAATAAAGTAAGTTACATCCTTAAATGTTTTTTTCAATTTTAAAATAGAAGTTGTTTAGTACTTCACATAATCGCTGAGTGACCCTTTTCCGAAAGAAAGACAGAAAGAAAAGAAAGAAAGAGAAAGATAGAAAACCAAGCACCTGTCACAGTTCAAGGCAGGTCTGGCTTTGATCTTTTCAGCACTCCAGGTAGATATCCCCATTTTATCAATAAGAGAAGTGAAGAGCCAAGAACTTGTCCAAGAGCACTATCTCTTCAAAGCCCAAGGCTGGGCAACTTCCCACGGTCTTTTACAAACCAACAGAATTCCAAAGGACCAAACCTCCGGAAAACTGCAGATCTTTTCTCTGAAGGCCCCCCCTCCCGCTTGCGTAAGGGGCTGGACAAGGTTTCAGCTCCGCCCCATGACTCATGAGACTCCGCCCCCAAGTCTTCCACCTCTCGCGGGATCTCTCGGGAGGACGGATGGGGTTAGGTCCCATCATGGCGGCTGAAGAGGCGGATGTGGATATCGAAGGGGACGTGGTGCCAGCTGCGGCACAGCCAGGGTGAGGCGTAGAGACCGGGTCTCGCAGGGATGGGGAGGAGCACGGGTGCAAGGAGAGTACCCTGGCCAGGCTGCGGGTTCAGCAAGGAACAGGGGAGAGGAGGACCATCCGCTGGGCCAGGGTCTCCCGGCGGCCGGGGAGGTGCCGCGCCCATCCGGCTTGTTAGCTACTCTTGAGCCCAGCGGGTGTAGGTACCCGAGGCTCGTGTCGGATGGTTGCTTCACCTTTTACCGGGATATCCTGAGGGCGCCGACTTCGCCTAGCACATTGCAGTCTATCCAACAATTAGATTCCTTCTTCCATGATGTCCACCCGAGAATCCGCCCCTTTGCTCCCCTCCGGACAGTAACTAGAACAAGGGCGGCCTCTGAACCGGACCTGAGCTCAGGGATCCTTTTTCATCGCTTGTAAGCGGTGTGACCTTGGGCGTGTCGTTTCATCCCTACTGACAGGTTTCCTATTCCACATGGGGTTAGTTGTGAAAAACTTCCTGTATGCAGCTTGACTTAAAGGAAAGGGGCAGGACTTTAGAGTTGGACAGCTCTGGGTTCTCCAGCATTGGCCGGCCTTGTCACTTCCTAGCACTGTGACCTTGGATCAGACATATAACTTGCCTGAGCTTCAGACAGCTCATGTGAGACTGTCATGGCATGTGCCTCATATGGTTATTGTGAACATCGGTTAAAGTAATTATGGAATGTACTATAGCATACAGTAGGAGCTAGGTAAATGTTCTTCACCATCTCTTTACCGTCTTGGAGATTATTGTGAAGACCTAGTGAGGGTCACAGTTTACTTAATACAGATTTCTGCAGAACAGGCCAGTGTGATTTCAAGAAGCATAATCTAGCGTGAGAGATCTAGCCCTTTGCTTGCTTTCCAAGTAAGAAATTGATAGATACTATTTTTAAAATGTGCTTCCCCAGTCACCTTTTAGAATTGGAAGAGGCCTAGACTGGTCAGGAATCAAAATACCTCAGATCTAAACTCAGCCAGTTATGTTGCTTATAAATATGAACAACCTCCTTATAAGTCTGTTAGGTTGAATGAATCATGTGGAATGGCCAATCTTAGACCATTTTTAACATAAAAAATGGTAATTTCATACAGTCCAACCTAATGTTAGGGACTCTGTAAATTATGGAGAGCAATACCCACCCTGCCCTGAGGGATTAAGATAGTGGATTTAAAATTCTACTGAACTCTAAAACACTATAAAAATGTGAGGAGTAATTACATTCGTATAGTCATTCTCTCCCGGATCTGTAGGAAAAGCAGTCCAGTGCTATTCAGATTAGTAGGGAATTTTTATTAATAGTCATTGTTCACATTTGTGTAGATTAGGTTATAAAGTTAATCTTGATTAAGTGCTCTTGCATGCATGATTTAATTTACTTTTCACAGTAAGTCTATGTGATAAGTGGGCAGGGATGGTTAACTGCAGTCCAGAGAGAAGTGAGTTAGCCTTGGAAACACAGAAGATCATCTCAGAGTATTGGCTCTACCCTTTTTCCATAGGTTCTTCTTTATTTTTCTGATCATGTTTAATTTTTTTTGCCTTCTCTTTTTCTTTCCTTTCTCTTGCTATTGTGCTCAGCCTTAGGTCTACTGGTGACACTTATGATCATCTTAGACTCATGCAAGCTGGATTACAAAGATTGGTTCCTGATGGTCAGAGCCTTTGTCTTATCCAACTCCAAGGAGCATCATTAACATTATATTCTGGTGAATGGTGCCCCCTGAAGTGTGTAGGTACAGCTAGTGATAACATCTGTGGAAACCCTGAGGATTAATTGAAAACACACTTTTAAGTACTTGCTAAGTTCTAGGTACCAAAGTTAGAAGGTAGCATTGAAACTTTGGTTTCCCTTTCACTTCTACCTTTCCTCCTCATCTTCCTTTTCTCCTACTTGTGCTTTAAATCAGTGTTTTAAGGGGTTTTGTCATAAGACAGAACAAACCACGTAGTCCCTGGTTACACGATCTCTCAAGCCTTAAATTTCTGTTAGGTTGGATCATACAAAATTTGCCAATGTTCAACCGTTTTGACCATAAGAAAAATGGAATTTCCTAAAACTGCACTTAATACATGCTGATGTTTTCCATATCCGTCACCAACCCAGATCTTTCTCCCGAGCTTTAGATCCATTTATCTAATTCTCTGAATCTCTGTTCTTGGATGTTCCACAAGCACCTCAGTCTCAGCTTATAAACTTTTCCCACCACACCTGCCATCTGCCTCCAAGTTCGCTAGTTCAAAAAATGGCACCATCCGCCCAGTAACTCAAGGCACAGATGGAGACTTTATCCTTTTTCCTTACCTCTCTCCTTCCACCCCTTCTATCCTATTAGTTGTTAAAGGTCTATTGATTCTAAGTATCCTCTCAAATGTATTCACTTCTTCATGTTCACACTGCTTGTTCCCTGGGTCTGAGTTACTGTCACCGCTCTAGTATTTATATAATCACTTCCTCTTAACTGCTTCCTATCTCTTTGGCCCCCTTCTATTTACTGAAGTTAGACCAGTCTTTCTTACAGATCTCATGTTACTCCCTTCAATCCCTAACTTGCTTGATGAGAAAATCCTCATTCCTTAACTCCCACAGACCTGGATGATCCATGCTCCACCTACTTTGTTCCTTTAATCATTCAGCAAATATTGATTGAGCACCTCTTCTCTGCCAAGGCCTGGGTATATTAGCAGTTATCAAACTAACTCCTTGCTCCCATAGAACTAGCATTCTAATTGGGTAAGAAACAGTAAAACTTACAGATGGGCCAAATGGGGATAAGTGGAAAAAGATAAAGAAGGGAAAGTGAATGGCATGTTAGCTTTATCTTATACACTTACCCAGGAAAACTGGCCCTGAAACTACAGGACTTCAGAGTCAGCATGGATATAGTGGAAGGACTGGATTTGAAAAGGTAGGAGCCCACAGATTGGGCAACCAATTGAATATACTGTGAGGAAAATAAGGGCAGGTTCAGATTTCTGACTTGGGAAACTAGGGGGATGCATATCCTTTGTCTGAGATAGGGAACAATGGAAGAGAAATGGATTTGAGAGGAGTTTCTCAGCTAAGGTTTAAGCATGTTAATTTAAGCTACCTATGGAGACTCAGGTGTCCAGAGGCATACACCAGAAGTGTGGAAGTTGCTAATCCTTATTGAGGAACTCTGTAAAAAGACATTAATCCTGAAGAGGCACCCAGGTGGCTCAGTCAGTTAAGTGTCTGCCTTCTGCTTAGGTCTCGGGAGTTCTGGAATCAAGACCCATGTCAGGCTCTCTGCTCAGTGGGGAGTCTGCTTCTTCCTCTCCCTCTGTGCTCCCTTCTGTCTCTCTCTCTCTCAAGTACATAAATAAAATCTTAAAACAAACAAACAAAAAACCCACTGGAAGTGATACTAGTCCCCCTCCTGCACCTTGGCAGACCTCCATAAGCAAAGGTTTCCTTCTGCTGATACAAGTGTCAGAATCCTTTATTTAGCATTCTTGTCAGCCTCTACCAAATCAGAGTTAAGACCTGAATTGAAACCTTTTTGCCATCAACAGCTGAGAGAAATTAATGCTTTTAGTTTATTGTAGCTAGTCTGTTAGTCCCACAATTTATAATAACCACTGTAGAACTAACTGAAGATTCAAAAGTCTAAACCGTTTTTACAGTCTAAGAGGTACAAAATTCTTACCACTAGACTAGGTCTGGGAAAAGGCAGTAGTTTTCTAGGAAACTTGTAACTCAGTAGGTTAAAGCCTCTGCCTTCGGCTCGGGTCATGATCCCAGGGTCCTGGGATTGAGCCCCACATCGGGCTCTCTGTTCAGCAGGGAGCCTGCTCCCTCCTCTCTCTCTCTCTCTCTCTCTCTCTCTCTCTCTCTCTCTGCCTGCCTCTGCCTACTTGTGATCTCTGTCTGTCAAATAAATAAATAAAATCTTAAAAAAAATTAAATTTTCTTTGTACTTTACTGTCTTGAGTATTTTCTATTTTGGCTCTTCGATTTTTTTTTTCCCCCATTTTGAGGGCAGTGCTGTTATTGGTGACTTTTATGCTTTAGATATAACTAAGAGAATTGATTGTAAAGTGGAATTCTTATGTACATGTGGATGTCATCAAAGACCTCTGAAGTGTTGATTCATGGTCATAGAGTATATTGTGGTTGCTGTTTTCGGGTATTTTTTTTTTCATGAAGTTGTTTATTCTTGGGAAACAAAAGAAGTGAACAGACTCTGGTTGCGGTGGTGAAGTGGTTGCTTAAAGCCACTCTGTATTCCAAAGGTTAAAGAAATCGAGTAGGCATTTCTGCAATGTTAAGTCTGTTTGTTAAGGGAAGAAGGGAATAAAATATTTGCTTAACATCTATGCCCTGCCAGTTCCTGTGTTACGTGAGTAGTATTTATTAATTGGTATAATGTCACCTTTTTACCCATTTTCTTAATTATTACAGAAGTGATGAAAGTACAGCATCTGTTTTACAAGATCACTATCTTGATTCATCATGGAGAACTGAGAATGGTCTTATTGTAAGTATTTCATGAAAATATGAGGTGCATAAGCTATTACTCATTGCCTGGAGTACCTCTTTTTTACTTGGTGCTAGTTCTCCGCAGTTACAGAGGTAGTATACTGGAAACATTTTTCTTACTTTAAAAATGAAAGAACCTTATTCTTACTTATTTTGACTTTGAAATGGTGTGTTGGGAAACTACTTTGGAGCCAGCTAGATTTAGGTATAAATCCTTGCTCTACAACTTATCAGATTTGTGAACCTTTGCTTCTTCGTTAAAAGATGGGGATCATTGCAGGGTTCATTTCTTTCGTGTAGCAGTTATCTGTTGAATTCTTACTGTGTGTCAGACACTAGACCAGATTTGGGGGATACAGCTATAATCGAGACAGACATAGTCTTGCTCTCAAGTTGCGTGTATGCTAAAAGGGAGTCAGGTGATAAACAAGTACACAAATTAAGTAGAAACCATGAAGAACGCAAGATGCTGGCTGAGAGTAACAGGGTGGGGAACCCATTTTAGATAAAGTTGTCATTGAAGGAAACGAAAGGTGATAAGTTTAGTTGAAAAGTAATAGAGAGGAGTAGGTATGTGAAGAGTTGAGGAAAAACATTCTAGGCAGAAGGAATAGCAGCACAGAGGCTCTGCTCCAAAGCCAGTACCTAGAATATAGTGGGAAGTGGGGAGTGGCAGCTGTGACGGTTGGAGAGGCAGACCCGAGCTCTGTCATGCTTATATGAAGCGAGAGTAGAATCACAGAGACCAATTAGGAAACATTTGTGGTCGTCTAAGCAAGAGTTGGTCGTAGAGTGGCCTGAGGTTTTGGCAGAGTTGGATAGATTTTAATTATATTTTGGACATAGAACTGCTTGGTAGATTAGATACAGGATTGAGAAAAAGGGGAAGAATCCAGTATGATTCCTAGGTTTCTATGTGGAATAACTGGGTAACTCATAATGCTGTTTACAAAGTTGGAAGCACAGGGAGAAACAGGTGAAGGTATGTGTGAGTGAGTTTTGAACATGTTAATTTTGGGAAGCCCACTAGATATCCAGGTGGATATTGGGGAGTGGGCAGTTGGATAGAACAGTCTAGATAGAGTTTAGAGAAGAGAACTGAGCTGAACATTTTTGAGAGTTGAAAATGAGTATGATCATTTAAGGAAAGATTGTGGCTTAAAGGAAAAAAGAACTGTGGTGACTTTTGGAAATAGGTGAAATATCTAGCAACATGTTTGCTACCTGATATGTCTCATACATGATAGCCATTATGACTTTATCATGGGTAGGAGCCTGATCCTTGGAATCCAGCAGTCTTGTGTGTCAGGTCTCTACTCCTCCACTTGAAATATTTGCAGTGGTCCAGATGCATCAGTGAAGTAGTAACACCTATCTCACAGTGTTATGGGGGAAGCAGATATGTCTGTGCATAGTAAATGGGAGCTTTATTATTTGTAATCATTATATCATGTATTTCATTTAATGAAACATAGAAGATAATTTCAGAAGACAGTAAGTAAAAAGAAAATATATTCTTTTTTAATAGCCTTGGACTCTGGATAGCACCATCAGTGAAGAGAACAGAGCTGTCATTGAGAAGATGTTGTTGGAAGAAGAGTATCCTTTAATGATTATGAGGAAAGTAAAGATTTTCAGGTTAAAAATCTGTAAGTGTAAGACTTACCAAAGAGACCACTGTTATTACTAGATGGACCTTATTTGGCCCCAGACTGCAATTATATAATGTGTTAGCTACCTATGAAAAAAGCATTTTATTCCTCTGTTTCTGTTTTTCTGCAAAGTGTAGGATCTAACTCAATATGCTTGAGTTTCTTTTCTCAGCCACCTCTATACTGTCTGAATGTTGAGTAGAAATTATAAAACATTTTAAATCAGTGAGAACCTTTAGTCCATGTCCAAGATCACTTAGTCCAAGCCTCCATCTACAGTTGTAGAAGCTAAAACCCAGAGATGTTAATTTACCCAGAGATACACTTAGAATATGTAAAAGTTCTCACTTCTCACTCCGCCAGTTTACAGGTGTTATGTGGGAGGAATCTAAGTAAAAAGCACAAAACAAATACTGCAGGATGAAGATTTTCCCTCAGAAGTTGTAGGCCTTTATCCACAGTTTAGTCATTAGCTTCTTGTCCTTGTTTCTTTCATCTGTTTGATGATGGCAACTTCTTTGGGATTCCATTTTCTTATATATAAAATGAAAGGGTTGAACAAAATGACTTCTGATTTTATGACTTCGTAAAGATTATTAATAATAGTCTAATACATAGTGGTTTATTTTTAACTCTCATCTGTATTTTATGGGTATCTACCTCCTTTTTTTTTTTTTTTTTAAAGATTTTATTTATTTATTTGACAGAGAGAGATCACAAGTAGACAGAGAGACAGGCAGAGAGAGAGAGAGAGAGAGGGAAGCAGGCTCCCTGCTGAGCAGAGAGCCCGATGCGGGACTCGATCCCAGGACCCTGAGATCATGACCTGAGCCAAAGGCAGCGGCTTAACCCACTGAGCCACCCAGGCGCCCAATCTACCTCCTTTTTAAGCCAGAATTTCTCTGTTCCCTTCATTCCCTGTTACTGCTATATTGAATTCAGAGTTTCTGTTTACCTTTAATTGTCATGGGTTAACCCTTTTTAGGATTTCTTATTCTCTTACTTTCCCCAAACATCACAACTATAGCCTAGATCACTGCTTTTCAGTAGAAAAATAGTGCAAGACTCATATATCATTTAAGATTTTCTGGTAGCCACATTTAAAACAAATAGAATTGATTTTAACAAGATATTTTATTTAACCCAGTATATTTAAAATAATATTTTCAACATTTAACGATAGAAACACAGTATTGAGGTATTTTACATTCTTTGTTTACATGTGGTATTAGCTGATACATTGAACAGTACAAGTCTCAATTAATTAATACTTAAGTAGTCATGGGTTCACTTCCAGATTTAGAAGCAGAAATAATGAAGAGGTTTGTGAGCTCTTAGAGGACAGGGATGTTTTCTTATATCTTTGTCCTCAGCTCCTGGTACCTAGTGTATTACCTGACATCCATGATACATAGTCAATATTTGTTAAGGGAAGAACATGTCAAACTTATTGAAGAGTATTGCAAGTCAGTTTTAAGGAGTCGGAGAGGGAAGCTCCATGGTAGATTTGACCTGTTATTAGTATTAATGTAGAGAACATCCTGAACTCTTTCTGTTATCTTTAGAACTAGGAAAACAAACTCCCCGTTAATCCTGGACAGCCAGTCAGAATCACCTATTACATTCCCCATGTTTTAGGAAAAATGAATGAAAAAATTAAATGAAACACAGACTGTTTCTTCTCTTAACCACTTCTAATAGGGCATATAGGAGAAGCTAACATTTATGCAGCATGCATTTTGTGTAGGTGCTGTGTTCATGTGATTTCACATATGGTGTTTAATCCATATAACAGCCTTGTGAAGTGTAGATATTTTTATTGTAGTTTTTGCAGATCTGGAAAAAGTTTTAAGAATTAATTTAGCTAGGATTCAAGTATGATTTTCATGGATGTGAGTACCTACTTAAGTCACATAAAAATGTTATGATTTTATTATTGTTTTAAAAGTTTCTTTAATAATTACACAGGTATTACTTATCTAAAAAATCACTTCCAGAAAAATTCTGGCTCGATCAAAAGGAAGATGATAAAAAATACATGAAGAGGTAAAATCAATTTTTAACACTTTAGAAGTCTGGACTTATATTTTTAAAAACTTGTTCACAAGCTTCCTTATTTTCTTTTCCATGTGGTGCAGTCTACAGAAAACAGCAAAAATCATGTATGTACTTACATGTTTTATATTTTAAAATTATAGGAGAATTAAAAAATTATAGTTGGCTTGTGGAAAAACTCTTGACCTTGGGTTATACAAAAATATAAAATCAAAATTTCTTAGACAGTTGTTGGGATGCCACAAGATAATTTTATGACATTATTTATATGTCAGAATTTCTTGTATGGGCCTATATAAGCTATTCCATTAGATTATGGAAAAGGTAGTTTCCTAGGGATTTGTGGGGAAGTTTTTTAAAGCTGCTATCTAATTTAATAGGAATTGACTTGATTTCTATTACCTTGTCAGTTAATTTTCATGTTGAACAAAAATTTAATTTAAATTTATGGCTTTCAGAAGTTATCTAGAGAAATCGAGTATTAACTGTTTTATAAATATCCTTTCCCTATAATAGAAGAAAATTTGATGTTATTTAGTGTTTATAAACTTCCATGTTTATGATTCCTCAAAGGGTAGACTTACACATTTAGCACTGCCAAGAGTTTGAGCAGTGAGCAGACTTTGGCTTTTGCATTTTGCTGAATAAATAACAACAAAGAAGTTAATGACAAGATGAATGGTTTGCTTGAATTAAATTAATGAGTTTCATTACCACTTAATTTCTTAAGGTCTGCATTTCAGAAGTAATAAACATTGCCATAGTTTCTTCCTTTTTGGCTTGGTATTTACATAGATTTATATGGAAGAATCGAGAGAATATTTCTGGAGCCAACTTAAACATTTACATGCCTTTCAGGATTTGGAAATGTACTAATATCTGCTGCTTTGTGTCCAGTCTAAGGAAGCGTATTTGTTTGTTACCACATTGACTTCCTTTGATGTCTTTTAGTGTTATCTTCACTCAGACCCAAGGATTATGTCTCTTGGGGCTCCTATCATCCTGAGCTAGATAAGTATACAAGACAGGGTAAATCTGTCCCCCAGGCAGAGGCTGCAGCCTTTTCTTCTCTTCTTTTTTAACTCTTAGACTCACACAGTATTGAATTTAGCCTTTGGCTATCTATAACCTTTAGCTGCATAAATATGGAATGTTCCATTTCAGACTTTTTTTTTGCAATTCCTTTTCTTCCCCTCAGGGCACACTCTCCTACAAAACCAGCCAGTTACTCAGTAAAGTGGACGATAGAAGAAAAAGAGCTGTTTGAACAAGGGCTGGTAAATAGAGCAATTTTTAATTTATAGTAAAATAATTCTAGAAGCCAGTATTGATAGAATTATAAGGTTAATTTGGGGAGACCAGAAATTTCTTTCAATGATCACATCTTTAATTTTTCTGTAGTGACGATGTTTGTAGTACAGGAGACTTCCTTTTAACTTACAGCTAAGTCACTAAAATATTAAAATATACTAGGATCAATATTTTAAGATAATTTTCATCCCCTCCCCTTTTTATTGGTAATAATACCCAAGATACTGAGCTCTGTATACATTGACTACCTGGATTAAAGGACAAAATTACTTATCGGATGTCTTCTCTTGGGGAAGAAAAACTCAAACAACAACAACAAAAAAACCCTTGATATTTGGAACTGTCTGCATAATCAGCTGAGTTCTTAATTATTCAGATACTTGGCATTGTGCACACAGTTTGAATATTCTTTTAGTGTATATAGTTGAAGACCAGAAACATCTTTTGCATGAATGTTTCACTGAAATCTATTTAAATATCCAAATTACATAATAGAAAAAATGTATGCCCGTTTGTAATTCTAAAAATTCTCCCTATTAATAGGAAGAAACTTTTAAGTAAATACTCAAAAATTTTTTTTCTAATTATTAGGAGTAGGTTATATCTTTTCCTTTAAGGTACATGTTACCCAGTATACACTAATTTTGAAAATAGATTTATATATTATGTATAGGAATTAGTATAATATTTATGTGGGTTTTATGAATACAAATTAAAATGTCATTACTAACATTTCTATAGATGATGGGAAATAAAATGTGTTTGTATTTTTATAGACATCGCATGACTTCTGTATGTTCTGTGATGTCTTTATATAAATAAACTATCTTGAAGGTTTTATCTCCTCCTGAGGTTTTCTCCTTACTGTTGATGTTTTTTATATTGGTATTTCATTCTGTTGCATGATTATCATTTTTATACCTAACTTTAATTAACCAGTCACTTATTTAAGATTGCTAACTACTTTGGTGTTTTGCCCCTCACCAAAGGCTATATATATGTGTGTATGTGTTTGTATACACATACACAAAAATGGGTTGTGTATTTTTAGGTGGTGATGATAGGGGCTATGTCTGCATGAGTCAAACTTCAAAGGGTATATAAAGTTATAAGTGTTAAGTCTCCCTATCCTGTCTGTGCCTTCAGTTCTCTTCACCTTAGGTAACCATTGTTGTCTGTTCTCTGCATGTCCTTCCAGAGATATTTGTCCCTCTATATGCCAATATGTATTTATTTATATACATATGTAGGTATCTGTCTATATACATAAACAGATATTTTATACCTAGAATGTTTTCCCACAAAACTACATGGAACTGTTGGTTGTATTCACAGCCTTTTTAACCTGTTGATACAGTTTGCTTATACACTGAATTTTCTCAGGCTTTAGAGAAGGGAATTATGTGGTACTAAAAGGAAAATTTTTCCTCCCTTTTGGGCATAGAATTGTCTCTGCTCTATTTTGAAATTGGTGTTTTCTTTGTTCCTCTTGTTCACATACCCTCTCCAATTTTCATAATGCTCAAGCCCCTACAATCCCAACTGGCTATACTCTGTCCAGATCTTTGATCTCTCCAAAAGTGCTCCATCCTATGAAGTTACTCATTTGCTTTCATCCCACAAAATTTAACTAATTGTTCAGTAATTTGATCTTAGCCAGTGTTAGTTAATAATGATCTTAATTTATATTTACTAAGAATTTTCCCAGAAATACTTTCAGTTTTAAGAAATTATTCACATGTCATATTTTCTCATGAATATCAGAAATAAGTATATAATTAACTTGTCATTGGGTCAGGTTTTGAAGATGATTTGCCACCATAAGTCATGACCTATAAATGTTATATAAATCTGGCCCTGGGATCAGCTTCCCTGAGTTGTGGAGATACTGTGAAGATTTATGTATCAAATAATAGACTTGATACCTAAAAATTCCTTTTAGCTTTAAAATTATATTTCATTCCTTTCTGTACTTCAGAAAACAGCAGAGCTCCCTCAGTGTTTCAGTTTTTTCCCCAGCACAACTTTGTCATTAGCGGGCATAAGCCTTTAACAGTACTGGGGTATAGGGAGGTGCTGGCTGCAGGTCGCTTCATTTGTGATTCATTCGTTTTTCGAAGTCTGTTTTCTGTGATACCTGAGTAGAGTAAAGGTATCTGCTGTGGGACAGGTAATGGATATTGTGCCAGATGGAATGTGGGTAAAAAAAGATATTTTGAAATTAGTTCCAGAACATAAATCAGTTGATTCTATAAATGGAAAATGTAACCTGCCTCTTTTTCAGGCACTTGTTTTTTTAGATTTGGAACATTGTAATGTTCAATATGAATACATACTGTTAGGAATACATAAAAGTGGTGAATCTTCATTTAGATAGCTGTAAAAAGAAAACTAATTTCTAAATCATTTTGGTCAGTTTTCAGAAGTCCAGATTCCAAGAGTGTGGGCTTTACTTTTAAGTCTTAGCTTATATATCAGGTTTTGTTGTGTGCTTTAGAAAATAAATAAAGATGGGTTGTTCTTTTAGGGTTTTTTTTTTTAATGTGCAGTTGCTTGGAATATTAACAAGTAAGTTAATCAAAATCAATTTCTTTCCCATTTTGATAACATAGGCTAAATTTGGCCGAAGGTGGACCAAAATTGCAAAGCTAATTGGAAGTCGCACTGTGTTACAAGTTAAGAGTTATGCCAGGCAGTATTTTAAAAATAAGGTAAGCAGGATATAAATATCCTACTTAGTAATAGTATTTGCAATGAATGAAATTAGGAAGCAAAAGTAGTGTTTTAATTCGGGCATTAATGTCAATATTCAAAGTTTTTGTAGTGAAAGTATTTTATATTCATAAAGTACTCAACACATGTTTATGTTCAGAAATCTCAAAGTGTATCTTAAGTGCTTTGAGTATTAAGTGCTCCTGGAAAATATCTTTTCTTTTTAAAGACTTGCATTATAGCTTTTTTTGTTTTTGTTACTGTTTTATTAGCAAGATGCCTACTTGTAAGTTCTGAGAAGAGTTTGATTTAAAAACCAGCCTTTTCAGTATATGAGTACAACACCCAGTCCAGAAGAGCAAGCCCACAAGCTCTAGAATGATGTTTGAAAATATAAGCTGTTAGAGGTGCCCGGCTGCTCATTTGGCAGAGCATGCTACTCCTGATCTCTGAGGTTGTGAGTTCAAGCCCCATGTTGGGCACAGAGCTTACCTCTGTCCTGGCTGCAAGAGAGGCTGGGGAGGTTTCCGGATTTTACTTGGAGGTTTAAGAGCTCCTAGCAAAATTGACGCTGGATGTTCCAAAAGCTTGGACTGGCTCCTGCTCTGAATGTTTTGTTCCTACTCCATCCTCATGGCGGCAGCTTCTACACTATATTCTCAGGACTCCACGGTCTGTGGCTTCAGCCTACTTCTCTGCTGGGCCTCCTCCTGCAGGCACCCGGGACATCGTAGTAGCCTCAGAACCTCTGTCTGAAGATTTGCCTTGTAGCTTTTAGGAATGATTAGAGCTTAGGGACCATAAATGCTAACATGAAACTAAAATCTGTTTAATAACAATGAAACTTTTATAATTTTTTTGAAGAATTATATGAAAACTTCAATAAATTGAAGTGTTCAGAAAAGCATAGTTTTGGTGTAGTTCTTTAATCTTTTAAGTAATCTGTGCTATGTTCAATCATGTAGTTTGATATTTAGAAAATTTTAATGTCTTCTCTGCTTGAGTTCTGGGAACATAATTATATAGATTTTGACAAGGTCTTAAGTAAAATTTGCTCTTTTCTTTTAATGCAAATAATGGGTTTTATCCTGTATACAAGATTTATATAACTTAATGTCATTTGAGCATGGGAAGTAAAGAGTGGAATGGATTCATTATATATCAGTCATCTGCTCCTTCTTTAACCAAGCAAATGCACATTCAAGGCAGCTTGGCAAGGTTAAGGTATTCTGGAAGAGAATAAAGTTTAACTCTGTTATTCCAATCCCCATGCTTCTCAGACTAGAACATGCAGAACATCTTAGGGTGTCAGTTTTACTCAAAGACTTGGGATGAAAGGATATATTGTGATGTTAAAAGAGACATTCATAAAAAATATAATATGAAATCTTATCTGAATTTTTAAGGTTAAAACAGGAGGCTTGAAGTAAATAGCAAGGTTGTTAAAGGCTATTCCAGGCCATATGTCCAAATTTCCTTTTCTCTCCTGCTACCCTTTTATTCTTCTTTACATAATAAGCCAGTTAATCTCAAATACTAGATACTAGGATTCTGTTGTGATACAGGATCTGTATGTAAGTAAGCTCTTTTTAGGAGCTGAAATCCCTTGGGTATGCCAGTCATGTACAAAATTTTTTGAAAACCATGTGGGAAGATTTTATTTCAAATCATTTATATTCATTGATAGTCATTTTTTTCTCCATCGACTAGGTATTTATGTCTGTAATAGTACATATGGAAGATAATTTCATGCCTTAAATTATAAGCTGTATAACATTGGAGCTACATTAAATGAACCTTTGAAAAATAGTTTGTTTCTATTATATCTGTATTTAAATGAAAGATGAGTTTAATTTACTAAATAAAGATATGTGACCTAGATTCCTTTAAATAATGGGCTGTTCAGCATTATAAACAATAATAAGCTGAGGTATCTGACATTCTAAGATATTAGCTGTTGAAAATATTTTAATATCTTAAAGAATACCTTAGTATAACAGTTGGTTCATTCTCTGGTTGATTTGAGACAGAGTCCTGTTTTAAACTTAATATTGAAAAACAGGTAATAGTTGTACAAGGTCATAGGTCATGATTATTTGATAAATAAAATCAGCTGGCCACAAATGAGTCAAATATAATGATAGAAATTTGAAATGATATTTTACATTTAAAATGCAGTTCTAAATCCTTAAAAGCACAATAAAGGTATAATATACCATTGATGTGTCAGTTTAATAATACTGTATTTATTGCCAGTTGATAAATTTTTAAATGTTAATATGGGGATTTTTATCTTGATTTTTAATAAGGTAAAATTAGATGGTCCAGAGAAGGAAATGCCAAATCAGAAGAGCAGCAGTGATCTTCAGACTAAAAATGAAGATGAAGGCACGAAGGCATGGACGCCATCAAGTTTAAGGGGACATGCTGATCCCAACTTGAATGCTATAAAAATTGAAAAGTTATCTGATGATGAAGAAGTAGACATCACAGATGAGGCAGATGAGTTGACTTCTCAAGCTCCCCAAAAGAATCCTAGCAATGATGTCTTATTAAACATTTCTAATAGTAAAAGTCATGAAACCAGTCAAGGGGAGTTTATTGCTTACAATCAGGAAGATTCTGTATCTGAATCTTCCAAGGAATATTTTCAGAATATAAAGCAAGGTGAGATGGAAGCACTTTCAAGTTCAGGAAGTAAATTTTGGACTGAAAAACAGAGCATTAGTGACAAAAAATCAGTTGAATTAAATGATCAGAAATGTAATAAACTGATGAAAAACTCTGAAAAACATGATGGAAATGGAATAATAGATGATGCGGGGCCATTGCCTTCTCCAGAGCCTTGTGAAATTCAGAAAGACTTGTGTGATAATGAAATGCTTTTTCATTCTTCCTGTCAAATGGAGGAGGAGAGCCATGAGGAAGAAGAGCTTAAGCCACCAGAACAAGAAGTAGAAATAGATAGAGATACCATTCAAGAAGAAGAAAAACAAGCAATTCCTGAGTTTTTTGAGGGGCGCCAAGCTAAAACACCAGAACGCTATTTGAAAATTAGGAATTACATTTTGGATCAGTGGTAAGGAAGAATTATATTTTAGATACTGTTGTAAAATGTATGATGCTCTAGAGTATTTTAATTAGGCCTATGCAGAATTTAGTATTTTACATCAGTAGTGATGTGGAGAGCTTAAACATATGAATGTATTTTAATAGGCAAGACTTAAAATTTCTCATAGTGAAATTTTCTTTGAGCGCTTTGGTAAATATTGTTGTCTCTAGCTATCTCAACCCATCTGTCTGTTCATTAAGAATATTTGGTCCTGGAAAAAAGAGATAATTTGCTTTAAGAAGCAGTTTCTTGGGCGCCTGGGTGGCTCAGTTGGTTAAGCAACTGCCTTTGGCTCAGGTCATGATCCTGGAGTCTTGGGATCGAGTCCCGCATTGGTCTCCCAGCTCCCTGGGGAGTCTGCTTCTCCCTCTGACATTCTCCCCTCTCATGCTCTTTCATTCTCTCTCTCAAATAAATAAATAAAATCTTTAAAAAAAAAAAAAACCAGTTTCTTAGAACAGTGTTAGGAAGATACAAAAACATTACTACACTGGAAAAGGGGGAGAATGTCTTTCCTAGTTTATCATGTACTTGTAAGTAAAAAAAAAATTTTCTTGACAGAAGGATATTTCTGTCATCAAGTGTGGCTAGATTAGAGAAACCATTCTAAATTGCTATAAATGCTTTCAGCTTTGATCTTATAACATAATGTGTTAATAATCTCTTCATCCAGCTTCATCAGGATATAGGAATTTTCTAATATATGAAATTTATCTTCTAAATTGTCAGAATTTGAATTATTTAGCATTGGATGGGGCACAAACCAAAAAACTTCCCACCTTATTAGCCTAAGTGCTCTGCAAATAATTTGAATTTTTCCTAACAGCTTAAGACATTATCAAACATTCATAATTACTGTTTTTGCTTCAGGAGATACTGAATTATGTAGGGCCCTCTTTACAGAGGTCTTATGCTATAAGTTAGGAAGATTGCCAAAGGAAAACAAATAACCAGGCTTACTACATCAGTAACCTTCATTGCCGTACAGTATTAATTTGGTTTACAAAGATAGCTCTATTCTAAATGAAGTATTTTTGCTCTTGTTCTTGACTGATGGTTGAGATGACTAAAAGTAAAATTTCTGGGTTAGGGTGGTATCAAATGAAAGAAGAATTATAAGGAAAAAATAGTTGCACAGTGCTTTACAGTTTACAGAAAGCTTTTCTATGTTTTGATTCCTCACAACTGGCCTAAAAATAGTCAGGTAGTGTTTTCTAAAGTGTTTGATAGATTCTGCGGTCAGGAGAGGTTTGGGGGTCTGTCTTTTATTATACAACCAGCTACTGACAGAAGGACCTATGCGCAGGTCTCAACCCTGTCCATCAGTCTCCCCATTATTTCACATTGCCTGATTGATTGACACTATTGAAGAGGACCGATCAAATTAGATCTCAACGGGTATCTAATTTTGTTTTTGGAAATAGGATGAATGGCCAAAATCGAAGGACTTAAAAATAATATCTCAAAAATTTTTTATCTCTATGAATCATCAATGAGTGACTTAATGGTGCTTTAGTCAATTTCATTTATTTGAATTTGAATAAATTCATTTATTTGAATTTTGCCTCAATAAGGCAGAATAACTTATATAGATGATATAAATTATATGGCAGTAGTTTCCTAACGACATTTGCCTTAGTTCAGAAAACCACTTAAATGTTATTTCAATATAGTGATTTAGCAAACAATGTGAAAGCAGAAAGAAATGTTTTGGAACAGGAACTCAAAACTATTCTCTTCAGAAATAGAAGAGGGAACTAGAGGTGGTGTTAAAAAAAATTTAAAAAGAAGAGTAAAGTTTTGAAATAAAAAAGACCTGCTAGATTTGTTTGTAGCTAAAAATTCCTTTCCATAAAAACACAACTGACTTCCTGTTGAGGGGTATGTTTTATTAAGATAGTAACCAATACCATTATAAATGCCTACCAAATGCATTTAAATGTATTTAAATCGTTTCCAGTCCTCTTGGCAACCTTGTCCTCATTTTACAGATGAGAAAAATGAGGTTCAGAGAGAAAAAGGAACTTGTTCCAGGTCACATTAGGGGAAAGTGATTTCAGGGTCTTGCAGTCTTACTCCTTATTTTCATACTTCATCTCAGGTCCTTTACCCAGACTTTTCATTCTGCCTTGGATGCTCCCCCTATTCTGCCCCCCAGGTCTTACTGAACTGTGCTTCGTCAAGTTGTTCAGGTCTGCTCCAAAAGAACTAGAGGACTTCATGACCACCCTATCTAAAATAGCTCCCAGCTCTGCCTCCCACTCTCTTGCTCTGTATTTTATTATGTTCATAGAACTTACTACTACTGGATATTATATTTTTATTTGTGTATTGTCTCCTCTTCCTCCCTCCTCCTTCCCCATGATAATACAGGCTTCACATGGGCAGAGTTTTGTCTGTTTTTTTCATTGTTACACTCCTAGTTCTTAGGACAATACTTGTTCTAAGCAAATACAGAGGTACTCTAATTGTTGAGGGAGAAAGATGGTGCAAATGAATCATGAATAAGTATTTTTAGAGGCCTTACCCCTTTTTTAAAAAATGATTTTATTTATTTATTAGAGAGCACATGCACAGGTGAGGGGAGAGGCAGAGGACAGAGGGAGAAGCAAGACTCCCTGCTGAGCAGGGGGCCCTATGAGGGGCTTAATCCAAGGCAGGCGCTTAACCTACTGAACCACCCAGGTGCCCCTAGAGGCCTTCCATTTGTTTAGCATCATGATGCTAGTGCTGAGCTCTTTTTAAAGACTTTTGATTTGGGCAGTCTTTAAGTCAATACAGTTTTTAGATTTCCTGTAGATTTTTGGAAGCTGGTTACACTGCTTATTCCTGCTCTCTTGGCTTCATTTGTGCAGTTTGTTTCCTTTGATTGAAGTGAAGTAAAAAAACACTGGGATCTTGAACTTTTTAGTGGAATCCGCCCCCACCCCAGCCATGGTTATATTCATTTTTTTTAGAGAGCGCATGCAAGTGGGGGAAGGGGCAGAGGCAGAGGGAGAGAATCCCAGGCTGACCGCCTGCTGAGCACCGGCCACTGTGAGACTGTTTCACAATCCTGAGATCTTGGTGACTTGAGCCAGAACCAAGAGTCAGGTGCATAACTCGATGAGCCACCAGGTGCCCTCAGTGGAATTTCCGATACCCTTCCACATCACAAGTTACTTTTTGCCTTCCCTGAATGTCTGTAGAACTAATGGTTTTATTTATTTATTTTTAATAGTAATTTTTGTTAGGAGAAAAAAAAATTTTTTTTTAAGATTTTATTTGTTTATTTGACAGGCAGAGATCACAAGTAGGCAGAGAGGGGTGGGGGTGGGAAGCAGGCTCCCTGCCGAGCAGAGAGCCCGATGTGGGGCTCAATCCCAGGACCCTGGGATCATGACCAGAGCCGAGGCAGAGGCTTTAACTCACTGAGCCACCCAGGTGCCCTGAACTAATGATTTTAAATTTGGTTTCTGCTTAGGCCTTCTTTAAATACCCTATCTAAAATAGTCTGCACCTAGTTTTCTCATTCTATCTCTTATCCTTCTTACTTTTTCTTCCTAGAACTTGTTGCTGCCTGTCATTATGTATTTTATTTATATATTTATTTATATATATGTATGTATGTATGTATGTATATATACACATATATAATAGATATTATTCATTGTATATATTCTGTTAGCATGTAAGGTCAGGAACTTTATATTCATCTCTGGATCCTTAGTGCCTAAAACAGTGCCTGGTGTGTAGGATGCAATGTAAATATTTGTAGAATAAAATAAAGATTAGATAAATACCTGTTATATGATATATCTGAATACTTGGTTTATGACGTCTGTATGTAAATCTCCACTTTAACCTCCATAAGCAAGTACTTTAATCCCCCTAATTTTTCATTTCCTCCTCTCTAAAATAAGAATAAGAATAATAAATGCTACTTTGTAGAGTTATGAGGATTAAGGTTGATAACTATTAGTACTGGCATAAGCATTTTTGCTACTATTAGTACTCCATTACTCTTAACCTGTATCTACTATGGTATAGTAAGTATATTCAGTAAATATTCATTTTATTATGTATACTTTTTAATTTTTTCATAGTCTTTGGGCATTTCTTGATTCCTTTGAAATCCCCTATAATATCTCTTTCTGTTTTCCAGGGAGAGTAAGCACTTGATATTTATTGGTGTAATGTTTAAAAACCAATATAAAACTTTTAAGCATTTGTAAGTTAGCTTATAATTAAAATATACTGTCCAGCAAAGTAAAAGTAGATGAAGCTAAGTAATATATTAAAAATAAGAAAAGCCTAATAGTAAATACTGTAGATATATTATCAGAGTGCCCTTTTTATTCAAACATTGAAGTTTGAATTTGGATCTGTTGACAAAGCTTCTAACTTTAAAATCTTGGGATAACCGGAATCTCTTACATTTCATATGGGAAAGAAATAATACTTAATAAAAATCACATTATACTCTTACGATTTTGTATCATTTAAAGATATCTCAGGAAAAAGTACACTTGGGTATTATGTATTAGCATTGTTTTTACTACACATTTACAGATTGAGAGGGGGTAAATTTTTAAGATATTTCAAATATCAAAAGTTTTCCCTAGAAATCTTATTTTCATGTTTTTATTTATCCAAAATAACTGTACTTCCATCTCTTAATTAGGGAGATATGCAAACCGAAATACTTAAATAAGACCTCAGTACGTCCTGGCCTGAAGAACTGTGGGGATGTTAATTGTATTGGACGGATTCATACATACCTCGAGTTGATAGGAGCAATCAATTTTGGATGTGGTAAAAATAAAAACCCAACAACATCTTTTACACAACATTTTTTTATCCTTAGAGCACCCATTAACTTCTTTGTTAGAATTCAAGCAGATTTAGTATAGATAGAGAATTCAGGAGGATATTATAACATTATGAAGTAAATGTATCATTGAGTTGTTTCTTTAAAACAGATTTCTATTGATCAGACTGTATTTTCCTGTAACCTGCAGTGAAAGTGGTGGTATGAAAAGGAAAAATAGTCAGTCTAAGTAGTAGAAATAATTTAACAATGCAGCTCTTTGTCAAGTAAAAGTAAAGTCATTTTAAGAAAAATCTAGTAATGGCCCATTTAATTTGTAAAATCTGTATTAATGCTAGAAATACTGTCTAGCAGTGTTTAAATAAAGGAAATAATTTATGAGCCTTTACACTTAAATGTAATAAAAGTGTCAAAATATTTTTCATGGAAGAAAGTTTCTTTCACCCTAGTTTTTCTCAAATTTAAAGTCAATGAATATGCATGACTTTAAATGTATTATTCACTTTTATTGAATTAACGTGACACAAACATTTTAAAAAAAGATAATAACCATAGTTGCAAAGTGATAAGGTAATTAGAACTTTGTAACCCATGGTTTCAGAAAAGTAATATTCTATAGTGTATGTATAAGAGAAGACAGCTAACCAGAAAGTTTCCTTTCAGAGATTATTTTATTTTGTAGGAGAGAGAATTCACAGTCTGCCCTGTGGTCTGTCCTTCATTTCAGTGTGTTTGTTACCCCAAGCACTGTATATGGGACTGGCTAGTCAAGAAAACTAGTGTCACAGCTTCTTCAGCCACAGAAGCAAAATCATGTTTTCTGTATTAGATATTTGAATTCAGCAAAGTGGGCTTGGCACTCATTTAGTTAGAAATTCAGTTACCCATCTCACGAATACCCCATTTTACTGGGATTTCCTTAAGAGCCTGACTTCTACTGAGAACTTCCAAGTGATTGTAGAGAAAGATAGAAGCTCAGGTGTAATAGAACTTAGACATTGGCTTACAACTTACAGTCAGTGTAGATGTGTCTTCCTAGTTAACAAATGAGTTTCAGAAAATAATAGATTGTTTTGTTTCTCCTGAATTCCGGTAGAACAGGCTGTATACAACAGGCCACAACCGGTTGACAAAGTACGAGTCAGAGACCGAAAAGATACAGTGGAAGCATACCAGCTTGCACAGCGTCTGCAGTCTGTGGTAAGCAGCCACCCCTCACTAAGAAATCTCTCCAGATTGCTCCTGGCCCTGTTAGTCAGGTGTGCTGCCTTCTCGCCTGCTATTTAACAAAGGAACGTGTTTTCTCTCATATTCACCTTAGGCATTCACTTTCCTGGTTCCCGTTCAGTTCCAAGTTAGCTATTTATTTCTTTTTTTACTTTATTTTTTTAAAGATTTTATTTATTTATTTGACAGGCAGAGATCACAAGTAGGCAGAGAGGCAGGCAGAGAGGGAGAGGAGGAGGAGGAAGCAGGCTCCCTGCCGAGCAGAGAGCCCGATGTGGGGACTCGATCCCAGGACTCTGGGATCACGACTGGTGCGGAAGGCAAAGGCTTTAACCCACTGAGCCACTCAGGCGCCCCCACGTTAGCTTTTGAAAGGGCAAAAATGAGAAATACCCCACAGCTCACTGGCAGACTTGACACGGAAGCATTGTGCTTTGCTTGTGTGCTCTTAGACAGCTTGGTTCTGGTTTTTGTATCTAGAGTATCTTCTACTGCCATCCAGTCAGGCTCATTTTTCTCTTTCAGTTACTTTATTTAAGTCTTACTTTTAAGATTCAGCTTTTTAGAATAGCTATCCAAACTCTTGTAGCCTTTCCTTAATTTTTGAGGTTAGTGAATTTTACAGTATCTCACAATTCATGAATCTTATTTTTTAAAATGGGTGATCCTGCAGGTCCTCTAAAAGGCAGAGTCATATTGGATTCTTATTGTTTTTACTAATGAAGTAGGTTAAATTGGTAATAGGTGAGGCAAATGAAGAAAAGTGCCGCTAATAGAGTGGGTATTTTTTTTAGGGTGTTTAGGCTGTAAACCATTTCTACCTAGATTTACTGTAGTAAGAAAGGATGTTTTTAGATCCTGGAAATGGTAGTTGCTGGAAATGGTAGTTGCTGGAAATGGTGCTTTTCATATGCTGGTTTCTGAGCCAGTGCATTTTAAAGGCTTCAGTATTGGGGTTTACAAAACTGGGTATTAGTAATCCAGTCAGCTAACTTTGTACTTCTTTCTCTTTGTATCCACTAGGCAATCTTTCCTTTTCTAAGGCTGAGAAATAATTATTTTGCTCCTAGTTTTCAATATTCTACCTCTTGCTGTGGGTTCTTGAAGTTTTCTATCACAAGTGGTTGAAAGGGAAGTCATTTTCTTGGTGGTTCTTTTGGTCTTAAAAATACCTTTTGTCCTAGTGTTTTAGCTCCTAAAGGTGAAGAGAAATGAAAATTCAAGAAGAAATTCAAGTAAAATTCAGAAAATCACTTCTGACTTATTTTTGAGCAGAGTGCTGTTAAACATAAATTAATAAAATAAAATTTATTCAGGCATTGCTGATCAGAGATTATATTTTAATGAAGAAATTAACTGATTTTTAGAAAAATACCATTTTGGTGTTATATATCAGTGTGCTCTGATTTCTCCAACTTAACCTTGTTAACCTTTTGCTTTATTTTGATGCTTACCCCAGCGCACAAGGAGACGTAGGGTCCGAGACCCATGGGGAAATTGGTGTGATGCAAAAGACTTAGAAGGACAAACTTTTGAGGTAACTTTGACCTTTGCAAATAGCTTTTCAGTGGCAGTTGTATTTATATATCTTAATGCCACATATGTTACACTCGTTTGTGTTTGTGTGTGTGTATCCTTCCTGTGTTAATTTTATTGTCCAGACGTCACCAAGAAATAGCAAAATAAAGGCATCAATACACTTAACTAGGAGTTTCGTTCATTTTCTGTATTTTAATTGTCTATTCTGCATTCTGGCCTTTTAGTTCAACAATATCTGCTGGTTTTCCAGTAAGTTGGTACGCCTAATTCATTTCAGTCAACATTTAGTTTTTATTCTTTAAAAATTTTATTTCTTTATTTGACAGACAGAGATCATGAGTAGGCAGAGAGGCAGGCAGAGAGAGGGGGAGAAGCAGACTCCCTGCTGAGCAGAGCGCTCAACAGGGGCTCGATCCCAGGACCCTGAGATCACGACCCGAGCCGAAGGCAGAGGCTTAACCCACTGAGACACCCAGGCGCCCCTCAGTAAACATTTATAGAATGATATTCTGATACACCATTTAAAATATTGTCCCACAAGCACTTAATAAGGCTTGCATATACCAGTTAGTAAATGTTATTTTTTCTTCCTGGATTTAAGTGCCCCCCCACAAAAGGTTCTTTCTCTCTTCCCCATTCCCTGCCCCCGCCTCACACCCAAGTGCCAGTCCAGGCACTGCATTAGTCAATGCGTGGTTCCCGCCTAGAAGGAACTTAATTTCTAGATTAAGGAAAGATGACGTCTGATAAGTTCCATAAGATTGGTCTTAAGAAATGTCAGGTCTTCCCCAAAGGGTGTGGTCAGAGGAGGTATCACAGAAAATGTGATATTTCAACTGTGACATAAAGGATTAGCAGGAAAATTAGTCCCCAGGCCAAGGGAGCAGCATAAACAAAGGTATAGACAGGGAAAATACCAAATTCTGAAAAAGATGCATTGTTCATTTGCGCTAGAGTATAAGAGTGGTGGTAGAAGTGGGATGTGTTCTGTACTTAATATTATCAGGATTTTATAAACATTAATCAAATCAGTCATCACAGTAATACCAGGACATTGTTGTTATTACTACATGTGTTTCCATGTTAAAGGTAAGGAAACTAAAGCACAGAAAGCTTCAGTAACTTGTCCAGGGCCACCCAGTAAGTAGCAGAGCCAGGCATTCTGTCTCCAGAATCTGTGCTTTTTATCATTGTGTTTCAGTGTCTTCTGGTTGGGAAAGAAAACTCAACACAGTAGGACTTGGTGACTAGAAATAGGGAGTAAGTAAGAGGAGGGACTCAGGTGATTCTGAGATTTTTTAACCTGGGTGACTGGTGCCATTAATTAAAATGGGCAAAACAAGAGAAGGAATAAGTTTTAAGCTTGGTGTGGCTGTAAATTTTGGAACAATTTTTTTATATATGATCCAGCATTTCAGTTTGCTAGTAGAAAGATGAGACACATCTACGTCAATGTGTTGATCTCATTCTCACCATGCCTAAACCTAAATATGGTTTAAAGAGTTGTTTTGTTTTTGTTTTAATTCTGCCTCTCATTGGCTGATTGACTTTTTGATCAACGTGTGTTTTATGTTTTAGCATCTCTCTGCTGAGGAATTGGCAAGAAGAAAAGAGGAAAAATGTAAACCTGTTAAATCCTCAAAAGTACCAAGACCAACAAAAAGGTATAGTGTTATATAAGTAGAATTTTTTTAACTTACCACAATGATTAGGAAATGCATGGAAAAAAATATCTGATATAACAACATTATATTCATATTAAGTCAAAAAATACTAAAATTTTTGAAATTTTTTATTTCCCTGATTTTCAGTTTAGAAGACCTTAAGCAAAAGTTTTTAAATTTGTTTGGGTTTAGTGACTATAGGATCCAACATATGTTGTAAAGGGGCCTTAATTATGACAGGTAGTCATTCATCTTCTTAGACATTATAAACAGATAACCTTATGAAATAACTTCTTTTTTTGGTTGGTGCTGATTATTAGCAAGGTTTCTTGTTTTTGAATAATCTGGTATTTGTAACTTGTAACAGTTAAGGTCACCAAATAAGTTAAATGTCTTGATTTTCTAGACCCTTACTTTCTTCAGATGCTCCACTGAATAGGCTATAGTTTTGTCAGTGTCCCTTTTAAAACAAGATATCTAGAAATGGCACTAAGTCATTTTCAGTGGAAAGAGCCCCTGATGATTAACCAGGGGTATGTCCTTAGGTAAGTTACATAAAGCCTTAAGCCTTCAGTCCTCACTTACAAAGTAGTGATTACAATAGCTAAGACTGTTAGTTAGCTATGTTTTAAGCACTCTATGTATATTAATTCATTTAATCCTCATAACAACTCAGTGCAGTAGTTAATATCATTCCCATTTTATAGGTGAGGAAACTGAGGCACAAAGAGCTTGAGAAACTTGCCTATGCTTGTTAGTGGTAAGGCTGTGATTTAAATCCAGTCAGTTGAGTTTAAGAATCCATACTGCTAACCATTACATTACACATCACTTCTCTAAAATAAAAATTAAAACTTATAGTTGTTGTGAGAGTGAGTTAAATGAGATAAACTAAGTAAAAAAGATAGGCATCCATAAGCTAGGACTCCTCATCCAGTATCCAGACATTTGATTTTCTGAATTTAAATGTGAGGCATATTTATTGTGATTTCCAGGCCCTTGTTCCAATTTGTCAGGATCTTTCTGAATTCACATCCACTTTTCTCGTTTACCCTTCATAGCTTTGAATTAAAAACATTTCAGTAAGCTTATCTCTTCTGTCATTGACTACTGATTAAAATGTTTAACTGAGATAAATGTAAGCCTCAGACATCATTCATTGTTCAGTCAGCTACACATTGCTATGGTTAACTGTTTTTTCATCTTAATGCAAAAGAAAAAGCTTAACAGATATCTTGCTTATGTTCAGATAAAATATATTTGAATCTCTAAGTCTGCTAGTAACTAGCAAATCAGTCCTATCAAAAATGAAATTTAGATTTACTTATCATGACTTATATTTTCCTGGGTCCATTATTACTCTTAGTAGTCACCTCTGCACTTGCTAACGGCTCAAAATCAGCTGTTTAATAATCTTTTCCAGAATTTCCCAATATATACATCTAATTTCTCTGCTTCTAGAGTCTGCTTTTGGGGCACCTGGGTGGCTCAGTCAGTTAAATGGCTGCCTTCATCTCAAGTCATGATCCCAGGGTCCTGGGATCAAGCCCCACATCTGGCTCCCTTCTCAGTAGAGAACCTGCTTCTCCCTCTCCCTCTGCTTGCCACTCTGCCTTCTTGTGCTCTCTCTCTGTCAAATAAATAAAATCTTTAAAAAATAAATTCTGCTTTTTTTGTGTTTTGAAAATAAGCCCAGGGGCACCTGGTAGCCGGTCATGATTTCAGTGTCATGAGATCAAACCCCAGGTTGGAGCCCCACGTTAGGCTTGGTGCTAGGCTTGGAGCCGGCTTGGGATTCTCCCCTCTACCCTCAGACATGCATGCATTCTCTTGCTCTCTCTCTCTCAGAAAATAAATAAAATGAAAACAAGCCATTACAATAATTGCCTCTTCATAGCACTCTAGTAAATTTTTCCATTCTGTACATTTCCTCCAACAAGATAGTGGGGTTTCACATCATGTTTCTTCAGTCCTCTGGGATGCATACACTGTCTTCCTATTCTTTTTATTCATGTTGATGAAGCACTTGTTTAATTTGAGGATCTTTCGCCTTCATTCAACAAATATTTCTGAATGCTTGCTATGTATTAGGCACTGTTCTAGTCACTTGGGATAGGAAGTGTCTGTTTTTCTGGTGCTAACAGTCTCTGGTAGAATAGGAACTAAATAGTCCTGCTCTTTTCCAGTCGAATAACATGAACATAGTCCTTGTTTGGGGTTTTTTTTTTTTTTTTTTTCCTTTCTCTGGACATAGCCTAAAGAAACCTTATTAATTGATCTTAATATCTTTCTCAAATCTCAGTTCTTTACTGGTAAAAGCCTTTCTAACATTTCTCTCAGATTTACACATGCTTTTGTATTCTACCCATATGTGCCCCTCTTCTTGTCTTTTTTTTTTAATTCTTTCATTTTAAAAAAGGTTTATCATAGGGCCTTTTATATACATTAATTCCTTTAGCAGAACTGCTTGTTGTTTATTCATTCAGCAAAGATTTGTTGAGTCCCTACTCTGCTGATATTGTACTTACACGTGTTTTTGAGAAACTTCCTTCTTGAACTTTCTTACCCATGTCTTGTCAGGGAGTTAGTTACATTTTCTTCAAACTTTTTGAAACCTGCTTTCATTGTAGGTCAGGGTGTGGGTACTTTACAATTTCTTTTCTTTGGGTATTAAAAGAAATTAAGGCGACAGAATACTTTCTCTTAAAGGTCTTGTCATTTCCCATCTTTTTTATTGAGTCTGAAAAAAACAGTGCTTCTTTCAAAAGGGTTGTACGGAATTAATTGTCCTTAAGAAATTCTCCTAGTTTAGTGTTTTTCTGATAATTGGGGTTTAGATTATTGATGCACATTTTCTAATTTAAATGAATGTGATTCCTGATCTATGTTATTGAGATTGTGATTTTTTTTTCTTTTGCAGCTCATTTGATCCCTTCCAACTGATACCTTGTAATTTTTTCAGTGAAGAAAAGCAGGTACTATTATGCATCAGTTAATAGTCATAAATAATGCCCCGTTAGACACGAAGTATTTATTTTTCTGTGTGTGCAAAGTATATATGCATATGAAAGATTGGACAAGGCAAGGTGCATTAAGGGTCAAATGAGTGATACAGATGGGAAATGAAAGAGTATTTCTTCATGCTAGGATTTTGAATGATAATATTTTAAAAATCTCTGGTCTGTGCTGAGCCTTGGTTGAGGATGAGAACTTGGTGTGACATGTGAAGGAGGAAAGGGTGGACATTCCAGAGGAAGAACAAAATCTCTATTTTTATGCTCCCCCATTTTTTTTTTTTTTTTATATTTCAGGAGCCATTTCAGGTGAAAGTGGCTTCAGAAGCACTTTTAATAATGGATTTGGTAAGGATAATCTATTGTGTTTACTTACTCTGATTTCTATTCTTGTGTATTTTTATTGCAGGCTTAAGAGAGAGTATGGAAGACGTGTATTTTGGATCTTAACTATCCTCTTTTACAAGGAATCTAAAAATAAGTCTTTTCTTTTGGAGAAAAGCCAAACAATTGCATGTTTCCATATTTTAGAGAAAATAAATTAATGTGAGTTTTGCAGACTGTTTATCATCATTAACCCTATATTTATTTCCTGGTATCCTTTGTCTGCGGCCTTCTAGAGAACTGCGACAAACCACAACTCCTACAGTTTGGAGGCTCCTTGTTGGCACTAAATTCCAGAGACCTCCAATAGTTGTGTTTGTTTCAGGCGTTTTTCTGTAAGAGGACCCAGAGTGATTTTTTTACTTTGTGTCCTTATGATACCTTTTCTGAGTAAGGAAAACAAATGGTATCTTTATTTTGTAAATTTAAAAACAGCATCTTGGAGTGTTTGAATATTTGGTTCAAAGCTTCTCAGCTGGCAGTGAAGCTAAATCTGAAATCCTAAATTTCTTTGCACTGAGCCTAGCATCTGATTCCTCTGCTATGCTACTGTATTTGAAAAGCATAGTTACCATACTTGTAAATGAGTCTCTTGTAATAAGTAAGTTTTACTCTGATTTTTTGTCAGATGGACTTGTATGTTTGGGCTAAGTCTGTTTTGTATTTCTTTTTAGCATGCTCATGTTTCTATGGCAGAAGTGATTGGTCTGTTAGGAGGAAGATACTCAGAAGTTGATAAAATAGTTGAAGTAAGTTCTCTCTGTAAAAAAATTTCTTTAATTATTTAGTACTGCTACCATACCAAATATTTTTCTAGATTTCAGTGGATATAATTAAAATATAGACTTTTACCTGTGATGGAAATGAGACTATGCAAATGGAGGTTAGATAATTCCCAGGAGTAAACTAACATTCTGTATATTGAGCACCTGTTTCCTTTTACCATTGAGAAAGGGCGCACTGCCAGCCAGGCCGCCTCATCGCTTTCACCAATAAAAAGCTACAACTACTTTAAAAGGCCAGGAAACATGCACCAACCCTATAGTTTAAACTTGGTGTGCATGATTCTGTTGCAATTATTATCGTAAATAATGGGAGTCATTGAAAGACTGTATTTGTCAGATATTATATGGGCTAACTTGGAAAACTAACAATTATTATTAGGCCTTGAGTAGAAAAATGGATTCTGAGTTCCTGCATACAATCATACTTTTGGTGTCATTTATTTGCAAGTTAAAGGCTGCCTGTGATACTGTTAATTACTTTCATTGGCTTAAAAAAGTTTCTGTATCTACATGTGAAGAACTAAAACTTTAATAGAATTAACAGGATTTCAGTATAACTGTATGAGGATTAATCTCTTATAGGTCTGTGCAGCAGAGCCATGTAACAGTCTGAGTACAGGACTACAGTGTGAGATGGATCCTGTCTCGCAAACACAGGCCTCAGAGACCTTGGCTGTGAGAGGCTATAGTGTTATTGGATGGTATCATTCCCATCCTGCCTTTGATCCAAATCCTTCCTTACGAGATATTGACACTCAAGCCAAATACCAGGTGGGCCTCTAGGTCTCAGGTGTATGTTGTGTGTAAATAATTGTACTTTTTCTCCTCCCTCATTGCTTTCTACTAAATAAATGTATTTTTAACATTTTTAGCAGTGTTGGCATTTCTAATATTATTTACATCTGGAGTTTTGAAATAACTGCATTTTTTCTGATCAGAAGAATATTACGTGTTTATTTAAATATCTGGGAAATCAGCTATTTTGTTTAGCCCAGACAAACCATCTAAGTAACAGTAATAAGTACTCTGAGAGCCTTTAAAAATTGATGGGAACAGGACACCTGAGTGACTCAATGGTTAAGTGTCTGGCTTTTCATTTTGGCTCAGGTCATGATCTCAAGGTCATGAGATTGAGCCCCACGTCAGGCTCCGCACTCAGCATGGAGTCTGCTCGAGATTCTTTCCCTCTTGCTGCCCCTCCCCCTCTCCTGCTCATGCTCTCTCTCAAATAAAAATAATATCTTAAAAAAAAAATTGATGGGAACAACTAGGATAGGGACTGGGTATACGAGTGAATTTTGCATCTCTGGAAAAAAATGAAGTTTTGTTTTATTCTGATAGTTGATGTTAAATGGGTGAATGCTTTTGCTATAGGCTGCTGTTAATAAATTATTACCATATTGATAAAGATTGTAGTTGAAGCGTAGTGAAAATAATTTGTAAACATGTTCATGATACAGATTTTGCAGGCCATGTGATCTGTGTAAGGGTCATTTCTGCTTGGGTTGAGCACATTTTGACCTGAAAAATTTAGAGTGTGGAATGATACATATTTCATTTAGTTGCTATTTGGATGTGAGGTTTTTAACACACTTTTTGTTCCTTTTTCCTCCATTAGGTGTTTAAGATGTTGGTATGGGTAAATACTGATTTTTAAATTTATGCAATCAAGACTAATTATATTTTTCTTTTCATTGTAGAGTTACTTCTCCAGAGGCGGTGCAAAATTCATTGGAATGATCATTAGTCCTTATAATCAAAACAATCCTTTACCTTATTCCCAGATTACCTGCCTGGTTATAAGTGACGAAATTAGCTCAGATGGCTCTTACCGTAAGTTTTCAACAAAGACAACTTCACCCTATTCCTGCCTTGATTTCTTTGAATCTTATATATCAAAGAATTTACAACTATGTGAAACTATGTGACGGAAAACTTTGTACCCTCAAATAGGGAATCAGTGTTTGCACACCATCTAGTGCAGTTATCCTCTTACCTTTGGTGACCTTCTTCTAGATTCAAGCCCCTACTGTATTACCATGACCACTGGGCAAAAGGATTACAGTGTGGAGAAGAGCTTGGGCCGAGCAATGTCCGTGTTAAGTACAGGCCTACCTCCTAGATATTGCAGGTTTGGCTCCAGACCACCACTAGAGTAAATATCACAGTAAAGTTAGATGAATTTTTCAGTTTTCCAGTGCATATAAAAGTTATGTTTACTTTGTACTGTGTTTTATTAAGTGTGAGGTAACATCATGTCTAAAAAATGACATACATACTTTAGTGAAAAAGTAATTTTTACTAAAAAACGCTAACCAGTATCTGATCTTTCAAGGAGTCAGTCAGTAATCACAAATCACCATAACAAATATAATAAAAATATTTTGATATTGCAAGAATTACCAAATGTGACACACAGACATGAAGTCAGCAAATGCTATTGGAAAAATGTTGCTGATAGACGTGCTTGACCATAGGTTTGCCACAGACCTTCAGTTCCTGAAAAACACAATAACTATGAAATGAAGTGCAGGAAAACGAAGCATAATAGCCTGAGGTATGCCTGTACTAGAGATACTGCTTTAAGCAAAATACACAAAGTCTCTGTTCTCGGGAAATTTCTTATGAATGCAGACTGGCTTTCTCTGCAATGGCATTTGAATGGGAAAAACAAGGAGAAATGACCACACTGTCACCTGCTCTCCATGGCCACTCAGTTTTAGGCTTAATAGTGTCAACTGGTTTCCTTCTCTTAGTTTCCATTATGTCCCAAAAAAGAATGTGCTGGGCTTAGTCCATCACATGATTTGGTTCCTTTGGGAATTGTGTTCACTTGTGGTCCAGTCAGCTCTGGCTGGACAGGGAATTGGTGTGGCAGACTGGGCAAAGGAGGGGAATGGAAGAAGCGAGTGTGTACAGAAAGGAAAAGACTGGAAGAGACAGTGACATCTGTAGGATGCTTATTCTCTATTCTCTATCTTTACCACTGCTGCTCTGAGAGTTCACTGTCCTCTTGATGCTGTCACTGCACATCGTACTCGGGTTCCCATTAGCTCATGAGCTCCTTAAAGGTAGATGTGATATTACACTCGTTTTTCTATCCTCTGTCTCTAGCACAAGGCCTGGCATAAAGTAGGTACTGAGTGAATGTTTGTTTAACAAGTTAATGTCATTGTTTTTCATGTTGTCACTTAGATGCCATCTCTTTGGCAGAGACCCTCACGTCATTGCAATTAGTTGCTCTGTTCTTTGTAACCTGCACAACTGCAACACTTATTTCCTGCCTTCATGGTGCTTTTGTCTTTTAATGTATCTATTTAGCATGTTTCTCTAAAATGTGAACCTCAAACAACCCACACTGCCTTCATCTCTGTAACCCCACCAGCATGTAATCAATTGCCTTGCATCTAGGAAGTGGTCAGCTGGTTTTTAGCTCAGCTGGTTTTTATTGAACAAATAGTATTGACACTAACTTCAGACCAAAATGCCCATTTTGAACATAGCACATGTATATAACATTCTTTAGCCCAATTTATAAAATTTTATGAAAATTTAATTTTCTAAAAAGTTATAAAAGGAGTAATCACAGTTAGCTCATTCTCAATTTACATCATTTTTTTAATCTCACGGCCCGCTAGATTTAGGGAGTGAGCCTGTATTCTGATGCTCTCAGAGTATACAGAGAATACAAATAGCTACGAGCTACATAAGACTACAAATTAATTAGAATTCAATGAAATTTAAAATTCAGTTCCTAGAAATTTGCTTCTGGCCCAAAGGAAGTAACAAAAGACCTATCTGAAATAGCCACAAAACCGGACAAATATATAAGACAGTGATGTTTAGGTCATAACATCAGGCAGTGAGGGGTTATGATTGCTGAGAGATGGAAAACAAATGAGGGGAGCCCTGAATTAGCTTACCAACTTAACAGAGTTTCCAGATATGACACAAGGAGGAGAACCCTACCGAGAGGCTGCAGACTGAGTTGAGGTGACAGAGGGGAGACAAATGCAGCTAAACTGTACCAGAGAGTGGAAACCTACATGGAGAGCCCAACTCTGGAGATTTGTAGAAGGTACAGATTTAGTATTTGAGAGAAATACAGACCAGTTCATGGGAGGAAGAAAGTACCCCAGGCAGGGGCAGGGAACACTTGAAAGGATGAGAGGGGACAGTACTTGATGCTCTCACGAGCTGCCAGTGCACAACAAACAGCATTCAACATTATCATTATTGCAGGAAAGTTCTTTTGGGCAGAGCTGTCTCTTAAATGCCTCTTAACACTGCTTAGTAGGTCTTAATCCTAGGTTCTTCACTTTGCTCTTCTTGGAAACATTCTGGTTCACCAATTAAAGTTTTCTAGAAGCCATAGGATACCTTGTGTTACTTTTAAGTTAAAGTACTTTTTACTTAGGTTCTCTCTTCCTTGCCTGTCCTGTCTTGTCCGTTCTTTTTTCCTTTTAGGTATATACCCAAATTCTATCTTTAAAATGTCTCTAATGGATAAGCATTTTCTGTACTTGTAATAGGCAGGCAATATACTTAATGATTAGTGTTCTGATATTTTAATGACTTAAAAATATTCAGTACAAAAGGAAATTTGTACTGCTTTTAGTGCCACTTTTTTAACTTAGAAAAGTATTCTTACTGCCAAACAGAGCTGTATGGTACGTGCGCACTTGCGTGTGTGTGTGTGTGTGTGTGTGTTTTCATGGTTTTCCACCAGTACAGACTGAAAACACATTACTTTTTATTCTTACATTTGACTTTCATTAAGAATAGGAGTTGCTTGCCTGGATTCATACCCCAGCTCTGACATTTACTGGTTATTTTATTTTGGGCAGAATACTTAGCCTCTCTCATTCCCTTTCCCCACATCTATAAAATGGAAAAAATTACTACCTTGCTGGGGCATCTGGGCGGCTTAGTCAGTTAAGCATCTGACTTCAGCTCAGGTCATGATCTCAGAGTCCTGGGATTGAGGCCTGTGTCATCATCACCACACTCAGCAGGAAGTCTGCTTCTGCCATCTTTAAAAAAATTGCTACCTTGCTTACAGGGGAGTTGTAAAAACTGCTGGTAATATATGTCAGGTGCTTAGCAAATAATAGATCTTCAATAGGTAGTTGTGATTATACTGTTGTCTATGCTTATTAAGTAATCGAGCATATCAAGTAAATTATAGGCATCACCAAAAGGGGTTTGCTTGATAGCTTGTGTTCTGTGATGTGTCACTCTCCTAAGTTTTTGGAGGGAAAAAGTGAAATGGAGGAGAATTGAAATGTGAAAAAAAAAAAAAAATCCACCTGAAAAAAATGGGGTAAAGGCCTTTTTAGAACATATTGACAAAGTATGCTTGTATTGTAAGGAAGTATAGTCGTGATGTTTTTTCCTTTCATTTTTTTTCATGCCTTCTGATTTGCTGGCATTGTATTTACTCAAAAAGCCTTATATTGACAGAAACTTAGTTGAGAGGCAGTATATTGTAAAGTTAATAAGAGAAACTGAGCCACACTGCCTGGGTTTAGATCCTGACTCTGCTTCTTTGTAATTATATATATGCTAATGAACAGGTTATGTTCTTATTTTGGGAACAGTACTGGTAGCTGGTTCACTTAAGTGGCCTTACATATGTGAAGCACCTTAAGCCTGTCATGTAGTAAGCATTATGTAAGTTTTACTATTATTTTTATGGTCTTGACTTCTGGTAATGAATCAGCTGAGCTTTTCTTTTAATACACAGCAAATAAAGTTACCGGGGGATTTTGAAGGTTATGTGAGAAATTTCCAAGTAGGCTCATCCGTGATACTTTTCCTTTCTAGCTGTGTGCATGGTATCCACCCCTTGGGCTTCTCTCCTCCAGAGTTTAGCTTGACAGAGAAGTGCAATTGCTGCTTCTCCAGAAAACTTAAACATACTAAGTTTCTTTTTATGTCTTTATGTCTCAATGTGTCTCTAGTATTTATTTCTCCCTATTCCCTGGCTTGTGTTAGATGAGCACCTAATAGGGAGGTGAAGTGAATGTGGACTCAGAAGCCAGGCAGACTTGCTGGGGCTTAAAATCCAGCCTCTTCCACTTCACCAGCCTAAACAGGTTGTTTCACTGGTCTCAGCCTCAGCTTGTCTGTTAAATAGGAGTAATGCTGCCTACCTTATAGCATTGCTGTAAGCTTAACCTGTGTAAAAATACAGATCATTGGGATGGAACATGTTTTGTTTAGCTTAGCTAAATGTCATTTTAAGCCTGTGGTTCTGGCACAGTTTTTAACAATGCCCCCTTTCACTCAGAAGATCGCCTGGCTTGGATATAAATTATGTGATCATCCTGCCTCTCAGTTCCTTACATATAATTGTCATGCAAATGGTACTTTTACTTTTCTTTATTATTATTAATTGCTTGGCATTATTGTGCTTGATGGACCAGGTTCATCCAGGCAGTAAATATTTAATGAATGCCCACTATGTTTAAAGTGCTGTTCAGCTGGTGTGCCAAGTTGGAAGGGTGAGGATTTTAGGTAATTAAAAGGAGATTGGGGATTTAAGAAATAGTTGATGACAGTCTGCTTCTTTATGCTTTTCTAGGGTTACCTTACAAATTTGAAGTACAGCAGATGCTGGAAGAACCTCAGTGGGGATTAGTGTTTGAAAAGACAAGATGGATAATAGAAAAATATCGGCTCTCCCATAGGTATGTACTGTGGTTTGAGATGTTGCACATCTGCAGTGTTTCTCATTAAATTAGGTTTCAGAGAAAGCCCAAGTTAAATATAAAATTATGATATATGGCATCAGTGACAGTTTATTACAAAACTGATTAGTTTATGGTATTTGTTTCATCAGTGTGTCTTCATTTTTCTTCCAACAGCAGTGTCCCTATGGATAAAATCTTTCGCCGGGATTCTGACCTTACTTGTTTGCAGAAAGTAAGCTGCCTTCATTTTAATTGGTTCTATTGTTCGTAGATTCTAAAGCTATTCATCTTGATGTGTTTTCCCATGATGCCAAATGCTTTGTGGATACATTTTCTCTGTGTTTTTTTTATTGCTTTTTCCTTTCAGAAGTTAATTTCTAAGAGATAATTAGCAATGCGTTTTGTTGCACACACTTGCATATAGAAATAATACTATTTTAGAATAAATTTGTCTGTACTAGCCGATTAATTTCTTAGCAGATTAATGTACACAGTGGAGAACATTTTTCTCATTTCATTAAATTCAAAAGCACCACGTTTCCATTTAGGTTTAACAATTGATCATTTTCAGTAATAGTAATATAAATCTAATAATTACATTTAGGTGGTCATTTTATTTAACTTTCTGGTAAGAAGAGTCCTTAATTCTTTGTTTCACTTTTTGTTTCCATATGTATAGAGTTAAAGATCAGTATGGCAACACCTTTTTTTTTCTTGGTAGCAATTTAAGAAGAGAAAACTTAAACATACTAAGTTTCTTTTTAATATTTTTTACCCCCTTCTATTAAGGCCACTTTGTTCTGTTGGAAGATTAATATGCATATTTTTTAGGAAACAGACTCTAGTACCCTAATTTGGAAATTGTAGAGTCCTTTGTATGCACACAGATTTTTATTCTACAGGATTATTTTGCTTGGTAAATGTAACTACTAAAAAAAAAGGTCACAAATTTGTCCAAAGTAGAAGGCATCACACTTAAAATCTCAGGTTTGTCTCCTTTTATGAAATCATAAAGGAACTAGCCTAAGCATTTCTCCTACACTCCTACACTCTGGCTGTATGATTATTGATCATAAATTTATCACCAACCATGTTTAAAGAGACTATTTCTCATTTGCGCATTAGAAAATGTGAGATTTGGAAAGAGATACAACAATGATAGTAATGCAAACCCTCTTATGCTTTTTTTGTGTTTTAAATATAAAATTTTCTTTTCAACTAGCTTTTGGAGTGTCTGAGGAAAACTCTGAGCAAAGTGACTAATTGCTTCATTGCTGAAGAATTCTTAACTCAAATAGAAAATTTATTCCTTTCCAATTATAAAAGCAAGCAAGAGAATGGAGGGACTGAAGAGAACTGTGCTGTAGTCCAAAGGAATTGTTAATGTAATTATTTTAAAGGAAGACCTTCTGATTTTGACATCCTTCTTTGCAAGTAATAACCTTGAAAGTATTGTAACTCAGCTAATGGTGGCACAACTTTAATATTTTCTCTCTAGTCATCAAAATCCAAACTTTCCCACATAAATCCCGTGACACTTGTTTTCACACAGCGGTTATCAGAGTGCGGTGTGAAGCAGGGTGTGCCGCAGTCTGCAGTGCCACCATGGCCAGCAGGCGCTACAGGGGACTCTGAAGGGCTGTCTGCTTTACTGCTGTATTCAGGTTGATAAATGCAATGTGTCTCTAGTATTTATTTCTCCCCAAACTAGTCATTCCACTTTTGGTACCTCGTGTCTGTGTCTCATTAGGAGCACCTCCATTTTTGCCATGTCTTCTGGTGAGATTTTGTCTCTGGTTGCAAATGAAATGTGGATGGATGGTCACTGAGGTAATGAACTTGGATGAGAACTAGTGGCGCAGGAAATCTAACAATGCACTGCAGGAGGCCAGGGGAGGCCTACGGCCAAAGTCTAACAGAGAAGAGACCAACGGAGAGAATCAGATTGCCGGTTTTTCAGTTATAGATCTTTGTTTCCATTTTACTTTATAGCAATAATACTAGAGGCTGTGCCATTGTCTCAGCTAGCTGAAACATTTAATATGGATTTCAGATACATAAAATAATTAGCTTCAACTCTATGTCCACTTGGTATGTGTGATAAAACCTCATTTAATCCAAACACAGATAATCATAATTCTCAAACTAGATTTTCTACTACCTACTATCAGGAGAAAGAGGCAGATTTTAATAATGCTTAAATATTAAATCGGAGACTTAATTTTAAAAAGAAGAAAACCTTCTAGGACATACTACATATCTAGTCCGGTTTCATATATTTTCTAAATCTAGAACAGATGTCAGCAAAACTTTTTATGTAAAGGGACAGTTAGACAAAAACTTAGGCTTTGCAGGTCACATACTGTCTCTATCAGACATTCTTTTTTATTTTTTTTTTACAGTCCCTAAAAAATGTAAAGCCATTCTTATTACTTCATGAGCCTCACAAAGAATGGGTTGCTGGCCTTTATCTTCCAGTCCCCGCTCTAGAGAATTATAAACATTTGTAATTTATTTTCAGGTATGTGAACTTGAGACACTGAAAGGCCTTATTTACGTCATCTTCAAACAACAACAAAACTTAGAATTATGATTTACATTTAAATATATTTTCAAGTAAAATTAGCAGTCGTGCTGCCTCATTTGCACAGATAGATTTGAGTTTATTTCTGTGAGCCATAGAACGGTTTATACCCAACCTCCAAGCACTCTTACTAGTAAACAGTTTACACCTTATCTGGATATGGTTCTGTGTTTTTACCTTTTTTGGTTGTAATCATTAGCCATGGAAGAATATGGCAGTGTTTGAGAGAGCAGTGAACCAGTTCTAGATGGCCTGCCTATGTCTTGACTCAACCCTGTGACTTCATGGTGGTGGAGTGGGGGGCATAGGGAATATAAGCTGACTCCTATCTAAATTCTTGTGCACCTGAGGGCTAAGTTATCTTCCTGACAACCTTCCAGGTCTAAAATGCATTTCTCTATATGTAGGTAGGATAAACAATGAAACATAACTTATAACACAGTTACCTTTACGACTGGGGGAGGTAAGAGCTGCAGACCAAACATTGGGAAACCGGAGTCTTCATCCTAATTCTATTACCAACTTCCCTCTGTGGCAGAGATAATGTCATATAATCTGTATGGGCCCCAGGCTCTTCACCTATATAATCCATGGGTCTAAATTTTATGGCTTTGTTTCTCCTTCCAAATACAGAAAGTCTGCAATTCTGTGAAAGGTAGTAATTGATTCCTTGGTACTCTTCCTTTTGACACGTTTTTCTCATTGTATGTGTGGCACACATCCTAGAAGTTGGTATGAAATAGCTCTCTTGATTGACATTTCCCTGCAATTTTGATTAATTTCAGTGATGGAAAATAATGGAAATTGCTAAAAATTCTGTTTTCCAATCTGGGTCCCCTGCATGCCAGTAGTTAAGATATTTACTAACCTAAGCCATACCGTGAGGAACTCAAAGATGGTAATCCTCAGAGGTTACAGTTTGGAGAGCACAATTTTATAAGCAATACTGAGTATTTTTTTTTCTGATGCTAGAGTATGTTTATCTCAAAATATTTTTTTAAAAAACAGAAACATAAAAATATAAATCCTATTATCTGGAAAACCACAGGTAATATTTTAGTATAAATTCTTCCCCCTTTTTTCCCTTGGGCTATGTCATTTTAAAGATTTTATTTACTTATTTGAGAGAGAGAGCACACTCGAGAACATGAACGGGGGGTGGGGGTGCAGAGGGAGAAGCGGACTCCCTGCTGGGGAGTGCTGAGATCATAACCTGAACCCAAGGAAGTCGCTTAACCACCTGTACCACCCAGGTGCCTCTGGACCCGGCAATTTTAGAATGTTAAAATTTGTGGTATTTTCTTCCTCTCCTCCCTTGTTCATTCTCTCTGTTTCCTCTTTTCTCTTAACATATTCTTAAAACATTTTTGCCACTGCAGGTGCCCACATTCCTGTCACTGCCACCTTGGGCTCCTTAGGGTAGTCAGAGCCAGGACCTTGGAGAAGCACAGAAGTCTGGAACTGAGAGGCAGTGTAACATGGGAGGTTCAGGAGGCAGAGACCCAAAGAAAAACCTACCTTTGATAATGTTTACAGGAGTGGAGACAGGACCTGGAAACATCCAGATCTCTTAATCCTGATTTGATTCTTAAGATGGCACAATGATAATAAAATAATAAACTTAATTTTTTTTTTCTTTTCCTGCTTGGCTGGTGGAATTTTACATTAGTACTTTTCTGATATCAGACTTAGCTCTTTTAAAAATCTAATCCCAAAGTAACATTCAAAAAAGAAAAAACAGTGAATAAAATCATCAAGATCAGACTGTCCTTACCCCTTCAGTATTTTATTCTTGAACTATTTCCAAAGTCACATTAGGTAGGACTTAGACACTTTTGCCTTCTTGGATGTCTTCCTCCAGAAAAAATTAAAAATTAATTCATTACAACTACATTTGTATAAAATGAGTCTAATATTGTACATAAACATGTCCTCAACCTAAAAGATTGTTTTTTTCCTTCTGAATATAAAAGAAATGAAAACATTTTTATTGGCCTTAAAAGTATTGGTGACCGCCGGCCTGGTATCTAATGGTGGCCCTGCCTGTATTCTGAAGGGTAGCGCTGGAAAGCCGGCAGTCGTGACCTTGTCCCTGTATCACCTATCTCACAAACCCTAGGGCAGCTTTGCCACCCCAGCCATGAACGTTGAGCTCTAGACTTAGAGAATTTAGGAGTGTTGCTTAGAAGTAATCATCATCACGAGAAAGATAGGAGGCAGTGATGACTTTTAGCTTTCATGTAGATATGTTTGTTCTGACCTGCAATTTATAGTTTGGAACTCATGCCACATATACTACCACTCCTTTTCTTTCTTCATTTCCCTCAAGCCCCACTCCCTGTTTTCCCCCCAGTCCCTCTGCTTACCTCTCAGAATACAGGTACAGGATGGTTCATTGAGCATTGGGTGACAGCAAGGTCGGAAGGATAGAGTTGACCAGATCCATTCGTATTTCATGGAAGCTGATTAGCCTTCTCTCCAAAACTCACTTCCCCCACAGGAGCGGGGTGAGGTCAGTGATGTGGGCACCGAGCAGGGTCAGAACCTCTGTAGCTGTGTGGGCAGCGGGGCGGTGGCTGCCTCGACAAGCCAGCCTGAGCAGGCCTCCTGCTCTTCGGTTTGCCCTGTTTGTCTTGCTGGGGCCTGACAAGGTGCGCTGGAGGACTTGGGGGAAATGCTGTAGGCAGGATGCTCCAGATTGATTCTTTGCACAGGGACAAGGGGACCTGTGGACACCTGACCACCCGACATATAGCTCCCTAGCCTCGGGTCATCAACAGGCATTCAGTGGATGAGTTTCTTAGTAGGAATTAAGTAAGGGTACCCCACTTTTGATTTTTTTCGCCTACACAGTCCTCTACCAATAACAAGACACTGTAAGTCCAGATTCATACATCATGGCATTTGAGAAAACTTCACCCAAGCACAAAGGAAAAAGCACATTTTTAGCATCATCTCTATCAGGATTAATATAAAATTTAACAAACTTGATCAGTATTCCCAGCTTCCCAGCAGTTAAGAATTTTCTTACAGATTAATATCCTATTTTGCAATATTTCCAGAAAATCACTGTGGAGAATAATGTCATATACTTTTAACTTACTCAAATCCTGACCTTTTCTCAAATGGTTTTATGTGTGCTGTTCTTCAAAACTCTCTTTTCTCTGTTTCGACATTTGCCCTATAATTTGTGCTTTCCAGCATTTTCTGAATCTTGTAGGCTACCTTAAATTCTTTCTGGAACAAGGCAGAGAATAAATATGTTAACCCCCTAAATCAGGAGAAAATAAAAATTTCCCAGAGAAGCTGTGATTATACCAGCAGTATACCAAACTAAATTCAAGAAGGTAAAATTAACTCATGGTATCTGGTTGTTTGTATTTTCTTCTTTTGAATATACTTATGAATATATTCATAAGAACTTTAATTTCAGGGAAAAATGCCTTATGTGCTATCTTTGAGGTTTCCTAGAGTAGTCTCTTAGGATTTAAGAGGAATGTTAAATATGATTTCATAGATTGTACTCCTGTTTCATAGGTTTACCATAGAACATTTGTTTTGAGCTATGAATTATAAAATAGTATTTAGAATCCAGCATGATTAAGTAGACTGGTCATAGATCTTTAAATTTATGGATTTAATGTGTAAATTGTAAATTGTGTATTATGTATAAGTATCATATAAGTTTACTATGATTATTGATAAACCTGTTGGGATGTTGTTTTCCCCAAATGTTACTAGTGTTTATGGATTTCTTTTATTACTTTAATTTTTGAATGTTCTGTAATGGAATATAATGACTTAAACTATTTTGTACATTTAAATATGATACCACATTGTCTAAATCTGTATTAAAGAATATTATAAATATTAATGTTTATAGAGCTTTGAAACCTTTTCCTTGAAGTGGTTGAACTCTTCTCCCTGTACTAAACAATGACATAAAATATCTGATTTTAAGCTTTGAGATTTTAGCTTGTGGTAACAACTAAAAGAAAACATTCTGAAGATTCTATATAAATAAAATTTTGGGAAAAAAAGTGAATCATTTGGTCTCTTTCTAAAGTTTTAGCAGCATACACATTGAATTGCAAATATGCCTCATTAATTCAAACATTGGTTGAGTGTCTGTTATGTTGAGCATTGTAGGGGGCACAAAGATGAGTAAATCTTGATTTCGGCCCACAAGAAACCCATTACCTAGTAAGTAAGTGGGAGATCCATAAAACCCAACCCAGGTAAGACACTAAGATACAAATTGGAATTAATTATAAATGCCTGTAAAAGACTTCAAGGGTAATAGGTATTTGTTGTTGTTATTGTTTTTCTCTTAAAAGATTTTATTTTTTATTTATTTGAAAGCGAGAGAACGATCCTGGGACTCCAGGATCATGACCTGAGCCAAAGGCAGACACCTAGCCGGCTAAGCTATCCAGGCGCCCCGGTAATAGGTGTTAAGACAAATGAGAAATCATTCTCTAGAATGTGAGGGGTGAGACTAATTTCTTGGAAGAGATCTACCTTTAAACACCCTAACAGGATTTGGTTAAGTGATGTTTGGGGAGAGATGTTCGAGAGAGAAGTGACCTTAGCACCGGTGTGGGGATGAGGAGTGGGAAGTACTTAAGAATGGTGAGTCTTGGCCAGAGGGTAGAGTATATGTAGACGCTCATTAGGTAATTCACACTGAGTCAACTAAGGATGCAGAAGGTATAAAGAGGAAAATCTCAACTTAAAATCAGAATTAACTCACTCACTGTCCTTCAACTTTCTAGTCTTTTTTCTTAGCATATACAAAACTTCAAGGAGGACTTATCTTCCATTCCAACCTGTCTGTACTATCTAATTGATGAAGTTGTTCTTCCCTACTTATCTCTTAACACAGGCGAAAGACCCTGTGGTCAAAGCATCCCATGATGGGGACAGAAACTACGCCTCAAATAATAGGGGCTGCCCTGACACCAACAAGACCCCATATGATTGACCCCAAGATAATGATCGATGTGACCCTTACTGCCCACCTGCTCGTACCCATCCACTTTGCCCCATGTTTTCCTGATGGGCACCTCGAAGTATTTTCAGCACTTCAGAGACAGACTTGGAGCCGCTAGTCCAAAGCCTCCCGGTGTTGGCCTCACTGAAATAACTCCTTTCTGGTTTCACCACCGCTCCTCTCTCTGCTTTGGATTTTGTCAGCGGCGAGTGGCTGAAACTGGTCTGTCTGGGACCCCGAGAGCCGGGGCTCTTGCACCCCTGCACCCCAGTTGCAATTTTTTAAAAGATTTTATGTTTGAGAGAGAGAGTGAGCGGGAGAGAGCACAAGTTGGGGGGCGGGGGTGGAGAAGCAGACTCCCCGCTGAGCAGGGAGCAGCATGTGGGGCTTGATCCAAGGACTGCAATCAGGTCCTGAGCCAAAGGCAGACGCTGAACTGAGCCACCCGGGCGCCCCCCAGCGGCAATTCTTGGCAGGCAAGCCAGCCAGGAGCTGTATTTTCCGTTTGCCCAGCCCCCTGGGCACTCCCTGTTGGAGCAGCGGGTCTGGGCAGCACCAGGGGCTCTGCTGTTTCCCGAGCCAGTGCCTGTGGTAGGTCAGAATCAGTTGCTCATGGTGACTCCACCCGGATGTGAGGACAGGAAGTCCTGGGCAGCTGCTGAAACCTGTTTTGCTGCAGGACTTTCCTGCTTGCCCTGAGCTGTACCGACTGCCTTCACTGCCTTTGGTGAAGCAGAGAAACGAGTTGAAGAATCCGTGGGCCCTAGACATTCGGCTCCTGGTAAGTTCCCCAGGAGTGCACACTGGAACCCATGGTTCCTTGGTTCCCTGCTGTTGGTTTCTTTTGAACCATTTGGTTCGGGTTTCCGTAACCCATTTGTTCAGAATGGCGTTGCCTGAGTTGTGGCAGGCACTGATCTAATTTGTGAAGGTATCCTTGAGAAAAGGAGTGGACGTGAGGAAAGCCAGGGTACGCATTTGGGGAGATCTCTGTTGGAGTGTGTGTGTGTATGTGTGTGTACAAGATGGGGGATGCTGACTACTCCCTCCCAAAGTCCTCTGGGGAGAGTACTGGCTAACTGGTCTACGTTTGGTTAGAACCCTGT